CTTCAGTCAGGGATGGAAGAGGAGAAAATAGGTAAGCAGGGTCCACATTTCCCTGTACACTGATCTCACTACCCAATCGTTTTCTACCATCTGCCATGTCCACCGTCCAGTCAAGCCCAATCACATCTACTCCAGTTCCTTTCATACGCTCAAGAAGGCCGCCATTCCCATTAATGTAGAGAACAAGTGGTGTTTTAGGGCATCTTTTCCTAACTGAACTCACGATCTGCAATTTAAGAACACTACCTTGTGAACAGAAGGAAAAGGAAGAGGCTCCTACCCATAAAGAAAAAAAGAGGAAAAAATAACAGAATGTAATGGGATAACAACAACTCTTGCAATTTTATAAGGTCCAAGCAAGTGTGAGGTATAAAAAGGCATATACAGATAAATTATATGCTGAATTTATTACTGATCAATAAACAATGAGATGAAGCAAACTTTCAAACAATAAGATGGAAACAGAGCAAAGTCAGAAAACCATGACAGAGTCTACAGAAGGAAAAAGCTACTTTGCTCAGATTGGCATAATAAATTCCTCGAACAGAAACACACCATGAACCTGTGTAGGCAGTTATCTAGTGTATTTATTTCCATATGCACCTACGTGAAATGAATTCCATTTAGAGAAATAAATATGTGTCTTCCCACTCACCTCTTGAATATATGGCTTCGACCAGCTATCCCACATGCTTGGTGGTAGTTGCCCACCCCATGAATCAAATATTTGTATACAATGAGCCCCTGCTTCTACTTGGAAAACAATATAGTCAGATATTGCCTGTGTCAAATGAGAAAGAAGAGTCCTCAATACATGTGGTGCTGTATGGCACATGCTCTTTATTGTTGTATACGTGGAAGTTGAACCCCCTTCTACTATGTATGTAGCAATCGTCCAAGGTGCCCCTACAAAACCCAAAACAGCAGCATGCCCTCCAACCTGAACGAAAGAATAACTGAGAGATGCAAGTATACAGGGATTGATATAATATAACCAGACATGTAAATTTGGCAAAAAAATACAGTTCCTCTTCTTTTTCAAGCATGTGAGTAGATAATAAGCACCTCCTGCCGCAATATCTTTAAGGATTCCCCCACGAACTGAAGTTTATCCAAGTCAATTGGATGCAAAGTCTTCAAACCCTCTTCAGAAACAATTGGTGACTGAATAACAGGACCCCGAATGTCTTCTATGTCAAATGGCACACCAAATGCAGGTAGAGGGGTAAGTATGTCTGAGAAAATAATCACTCCGTCAGGACGGAAAGCTTCCCAAGGCTGCAAAGAAATTTCCACAATGAGATCAGTTTTCTCTGACCTCTCTCTGAATGATGGATATTTCTCTGCAAGCTTTCTGTAAACGGCCATATACCTTCCTGCTTGGCGCATCATCCATGCTGGAGGCCGACTTACAGGCTCTCCTCTCGCAGCCTTAACCAAGAGTGGATCTGGGAGTTGAGGAAGGGGAGTTTAATATGAAAATTAAAATGCAAGCTTTATTTAACAACAAAAACAATTTTTAAAGAGAAGTTACTGAGACTAAAACATCAAGCTAGCGAAGTTCAAATATTAGGACAGGGTTGAACATTATGTGTTGCAATACGCACTAGCATTTTATAAGAGGCAATGCCTCAATATGCGTGAAGAGAAGGCTCATGGTCTTGGGTCAATTCAAACTATTAGCACACTAATATATATCTTTAATTGGTTAGACCTCGACTCATAGATCAACCTCAATACCAACTAACCCTGTTATCACCTGAGCCAAGCCAGATGGGAAACAATATATTCTCCATAACAGCAATGCCAACTCAACTAAAAGGTATGACGTGAGTAATGAAAAAACTTGATTAAGAGATCAGCACAGTTTCTCTCTCTAGTTCATGGAACATAAAATAAAAAAAAGGAACTTCATTGATGCATGGTATTTCCAAACTATGTTTCTCCCAGGCACCTATAACTTTTCATTACATTTTAGTACTGTTTTCTCTCAAATGAAACATTGTATACGAAGTTGTCACTCACTCCGACCAGATAAATATTTTGCCAAAGCCCTGCAGTTCTATAAACACATTACTCCTAAGACAGCTTCCACATCACAAATGCTTGTTCCAAACTGTCTTTAACAACCTTTTTCTGGGTTTTCCCTCTCTCTGTGCATCTCTCTCTCTAGAGAGTGCACTTTCCATTTCTAGCCGTTCTGAGGGTCCTTGGGAAAGAGGGTAAATTTTTGGCATAGTCACTGAAAATGTGAGGCACAATTCCAGAACATAGCCTCTTTGAGGCATTTAATCGAGCACATAGTGGGCACCAGTAGAGGGGCAAATTCCAGCCACTCTAAGGGGTTTTCTGGTGCTTAACAACCTTTTCTCTGATCCTTTTCTTCAATTGGTCCTAAATCAACCCTCTAGAGATTGTATTATTTTTAATTTCAGCTTCCTTTTTGGCATTATCACTCATTTATCACCTTCACCACCTAAGCAAATAATTAGAATCTGCATAGTAGGAATTGCTCATTGATTCACAATATAATCAAAACCAAAGTATTATAACATAAACGTGAACTACAATGCAAGAAAGCAAGATTGGAGAATAAACCATTTCAAGTTAACAGAAAATGAGCCACATAAACCAAAAAAGTAAATACATTTCTTTGAAAAAAAAACAAGGGGGAAATGAAGCATACCAGAAGATGAAGAGGAAGATGAGCAGGTTACAGAAACTTTCTTTTGGGCACATTTTCTTTTAGAAGAAGCCATGGAACCACTGAGAGTAGCACAAGTAGAACTTGCCCCAGACTGCACGAACAAGCTCGAAGACTTCCATCCCAGAGAGCTGTTCACACTGCAAATAACCAAATTTCAGTTTGATAGGAATTGGGATGCCCCAAGAAGGACGCAAATATCAGATTTAGAGAGAGAGAGAGAGAGAGAGAGAGAGAGAGAGAGAGAGAGAGAGAGCTGGCCTGGCTGGAGCAGATAAACCCATTTCGGATAGAGAGGGAGAGAGACAGGGACAACCGTATGTAGAGTTGGGAGGATTTGTAATTTGCAGCAATTTTCCATTTGCGGGAGGAATGCGGGACCATACTGGTAACCGTTGGATCTGAATTAATGAGATCCAACGGCTGGTAGGATTTTAGCTCGTTCTAGCAATTTTTTTATTTTCTTTCAATTTCGGTACTGAGTTTTCTGTGTTCATCGAGAAAAACTAATATTCAACAACTATCTTACATGAGTTTTGAACTCAAAACTTCTTCTATCAAAATGGAGACGGGAGTTAAATCTATTTGATCGAGATTAATCCTTCTTTGATACACGTCTGTAGAATGCATATGGTTAAAGGATGTACATATCCAAGGCATAACTTCGAAGCTCACATTGGCATTGACAAGAGCACGGATGTGACAGTGGACGACGTTGAGATCACCGAGTCTGGCGGGAGGGAAGACATCACAATCGTGTCGTGAACAACAACTGTGTCACTATCCTAGATGGAAACACCGGGATCAACGTCCAAAAAATGACCTGTACACGCAGACGGCAATGGGCTTGGCATGGGGTCCTAGGCAAAAACTGACAGACAGAGGGCCGGTTATGGGAGTGACGATGGGAAACTGTACCTTCTCACACTGAGGGTGCTATTATAGGATCCAGAGTTTGGTGGCTTCTAATGTTGATATAGCCGTCTATAATTTGGTTTTTGACGACATTGTTATGGACTATCTTCAGAACATCCATATAATCTTAGACCAAGAGCACTGCCAAGCAAAGCAGTGCCCCTAGCCAAATCCCCCTCCATAGTTAAGGGATCAAATGTGAGCTGCAACACCTCCGTGCACCCTCATATCGTCGTTCTTTGAGTGCAGCACTGCGCTCGGCGCATGCAAGGACGCCAAGTTTATCCACGTGAAAATTACTGTCCAAGGACGACCGTTTCGAAGCTCAATGTAAAAACGTGAAGCCTGCTGTGTCTGGCCAAGTCCTGCTCATTGCATTTGCTTACTTCCCTTTTTTGGCTAAGAAAAACAAGGATAACATACAACCACGCACAAGTACATACACATTAAGGCAGATGTGCTACACCACGGCATATATCTGTACTATCTTAAGAATATCAGATATTTGGTTTCTTGCTTCTCCCAAATTCAGTTTTGTCATATTCTTTGTGAAGCCACTTTTGTTGAGAAAGTATGGGTGCATGTATATTTAGTTAAAGAAATTTTTGAAAAGATACCTATTTCGCCCACTAGTACCCGAAACATACAAAAATTACTCATATTTCACACACCAAGGTATTCACTAATTATGCCATACTCTCTCCGTCCCACACTACTCCAACCGCCATTATAAACAATTAAATGAGATCAATATCAAAATATGTGTGTAGTGACGCGAACAGATATAATAGGCCGATTTTTACATAAAAAATAATAGGTACATTATTATATATGTAAGTACATCAAGAGTATATACAAAAATTAGAATGCAAACTATTTTTGTAGGTATATTATAATTACTAATAAAAAATAACCAATAAACATTATAATATGAAATAAATTATCATTCATCATTTGGTCTACTAACACAACGGTCTCTATTTTGTTTAAGTAGATCATGAGTTCAAATCTTGTGGACAATAGTTGTTGAAACAATTTGTACGAGGTCAACAAAACTTTTTCTTATTCACAGAATTTGCCGGAGGTCAACGAAATTTACCCCGTGAACGTAGTTTCTTGTGTGAATAGTAGGAGCCTAAATTAAGCAAAAATAACAACTAAAATAGGAGGAAATTGAATCCACATGAAGGAAAGTAAATAAATAAAAGAAAGTCAGCACCTGAATAGGACTTAAGAGATTAGTAGTGGGCCACATAAATTTTGGTTCACAATTTTGCGGTGGCGAGTTTCCTTTTTGACACTATAAAATGCACGACCGATCTTGAATCCAACAGTATTGAGATTATCAGAGGCTAAAAGTTTACAAATACAAGTCTACAACATGGGTTCAGAATTTATTCATGGAATTGCCTGGTTTTTGTTCTTGGTAGCGATATGTGCCATCAAAGCCAAAGCTATCAGTGTTGATGTCGTTAAATTTGGAGCCAAGGGTGATGGCAAGACAGATGATACCAAGGTAACGAACAACAAACTCTCGATCATGATATTGAAACTTCTGATTTTTCTCTAACAAAATAAACTTTTAGTTTTTTCATCGAACAATCAAATACTATCGCGTCATTCGGTGAATAAAATTTAGTGTGCTATGTGATACCTTTGGTGTTATGAAAAAGTTTACAAGCCAACTGAATTGTTTCTCATCAAACTAATGTTTTCTTGTTACGTGAGTAAATTTTCAGGCTTTCACACAAGCATGGGCACAAGCCTGCAGTGAGAGGCAAAATAACAGATATGTGATACCAAAAGGAACATATATAGTTGGTCCAGTTGATTTTGCAGGGCCCTGCAAAGCAAAAACTATTCACTTTAAGGTTGACGGAACAGTGCAGTCTTCAAAAAAGCAGTCAGTAACTGGAGGTGCGCACCGTAATGCGTGGATTAGTTTCACGCAGGTTAACAACTTGTTCATCTCAGGAGATGGCATTTTTGATGGCCAAGGATTTGAAGGCAATTGTACCCAAGCTAAACAATGCGAACAACCGCCTCTAGTAAGCATCCCCATTCTCAATAATTTTGATTTTTTTGTTTGTTTATTCAACAACTATTTATCGTACATGAGTTTTGAACTCAGAACTTCTTCAAACAAAATGAAGACAATCGGGATTAATTAATGCTTCTTTGATTGAATGCAGAATTTAATTTTCGCTCTAGTTAAGGATTCACACATCCAAGGCATAACATCGAACAATAGCGTCGGCGGTCACATTGGCATTTACCGGTCAATAAACGTGACAGTGGAAGATGTTGACATTGGCATCAAAGGTGGGGAGGGAATCCTGATCGAAAAGTCAACAAACATTAACATCATCAATACAGACATCAAAATCCTTCACGACAACTGTGTCACTATCCTAGATGGAAACACTGGGATCAACATTGAAAAAATGACCTGCTCACAAGGCAATGGCCTTGGTGTGAGTGTCCTAGGCAACACTGGCAAAGAGGAGCCGGTTAAGGGCGTGACGGTGAGAAACTGTACCTTCTCACACACTGAGGGTGCAATTAGGATCCAGAGTTCGGCGGCTTCTAATGCTAATATAGCCATCTCTAATTTGGTTTTTGAGGACATTATTTTCGACTATCTTCAGAACATGGCTATAATCTTAGACCAGGAGCATTGCCCATCAAAACAGTGCCAAACGACAAACCCCTCCAAAGTTAAGGTGGAAAATGTGAGCTTCAAGAACATTAGGGGCACTTCCGTGGACCCTCGTATCGTTATTCTTGAGTGTGGCACTGCTCCCGACGCATGTAAGGACATCAGGTTTATCGACTTGAGAGTTATCGTCGAAGGGGATGACCGTTTGGAGACTCAATTTAGATGTAAAAACGTGAAGCCTGCTGTGGCTGGCCATGTTGATCCTGCTGCTTGTAGTACACAAGCTGTTGCCTGATACTAGTTCACCTACGCCATCTTCACATCCAAGATAGAGAATGATGTATAAATAATAGGGTATTCACCCCTTCATACTTAATTGAATGATGAATGGTGATGTACGTATCTATGAATCACATCAGCAACAGAATATTGCTGCTTTTTGTAATAAATTTTGGCTTTAAATATTGTTTGTTCAGAATAATCATGGATTTTTAATGCATGGATCATATTAAAAATTTAAAAGCCAAGAAATGCGAAAACAAACAGAGGAGTTAGATTCTAAAAATAATGGTTTATAATTTTCTGCATAAACTTTGATTATACTGACATAGCACAAGCTGACCTGATCCACTTTTTAGAAATCATTCCAAATCCAAGTAAAACCAGAATCACTTTGGGTGCAGATACCTCAACTACAAGCTACAAAAATCCCCACAAAATGAAATTGAGTACAGAATACACATATTTATTTGAGGTACCACCAAACTGGAAGATGCATGAACGTGGATGGGCTAGACTTTCCTCATTGTTCTCATGTAAATCGGAGACCAGCAAGATTCATTCGAGCACCAAAAGGCCAGAGTCTGCTTAAGACAAAATCCCAATTAGACAACGATTTTTTTTTGCATTTGCTCCCCACCTTGTCATAGAGTATTGTGTAGTTTGAGCAGCTTATATTTCTGAAGTAACAGAATTTACCACCATCATATCTGTAGACTTGCTGTGTGCTCCCCAAACCACTCACAACCAAATTGTTTTTCACAACCATATTGCCCTCAGCACTCTGCAGATTTCTGAGAGAGCTGTTCGAGAATCCCAAACCAGACTTCTTCTCAATAAATCCCAAGTCCACATTTGTAATCAATAAATAAGTTCCATTTCCTTGTCCTAAGTAGTCAGTGTACAAATAAAGTGGAAATGTTTTGTGTGATGTCAGTGAGTGAACATAGGAGGATGGCAGCTTAATATGAACTGAGTCATTGAAAATGATCTTCTGGTTGACTATCTGCATATTACCATCTTTCCCCAGGACCATTGAATTACTGTAATAGAAGTCTTGAATTGAACGGGTTGTGATATTCCCATAGGAAGACTTCACCCATCCAGTTGATGACACGGACCTGCTTGTCCTTGTCAAAAATGTGCCATTTAAACCCTTGAAATCTGAAACCAGGGAAACAGCAAGGGGCAAGCTACTATGTTTAAAAAGCTTTCCTTCAGTTTTTGTGCTCTGTTTGTCCAACCAAAGATGCAAATTTGCATCAATGTACCAAACATTTAAGGCATTTGTAACATTAAACCCAAACTTGTGGCTCTTCCCATCTAATATCTTCCCTAAAAATGGTGTAATTTCGATATCATAAGTCGGAAGATCGAATGAGCCAATTGCAGTAATCGGTCTCCACAAAAGAGGATTGATCCCTCCAGTGAAAATCACAGTAAAAGGCCAGACTGCACCAACAACCTCACCATCTAGACTGACCACAACCTCCCTAAAAGGTCCATTTCCAGGTGTACTGCTAAGGTTGTTTGCAGCTATGTACTCATTAGGAAGATTTGAATACCAAAATTCATCATTCTCATGAAATGAAACATACACCTCCAACACAGCCCTATAAGCATTTTGTGGAATCTTGAACTCCTTCAACTCCGTATCATTTGAATTCTGAACTTCAAACCACAATCCATCATTCAAAGGCAGATTTCTCGAAATGGGTAAAATCAAATCAGCCCAAGAATGGTACCCAGATGCCGAATTATCCAACTTTTGCTCAAACAAATTCAATTTCTCTTCAGCAGGGTAAAAATGAATGCTTATATTCACATGATAAATCCCAGTGTAGGTTTTATCTATCAAATTGCCAAGATAAACAGCAAGTGTTTGATTACTCTTAAGCAGTGAATAGTACCTTGTGATGTCCTTCTCGACAGTCCAAACAATCCCATTAGGCCTTGGTTCTGCTGTGCAGCTCCTGAGAATCTCAACCCCACCAAGCCAAACCCCGAAAATGCGGTCAAATTGCCTTCCTCTGCAGGTAGCTTTCCATTCAAGGACAATTGTGGAGAAAGTTTGAGATGGGCAATGGGAAGGAGGGGTGTAGTTTGCAAAGACTGGAGGTTTTCCATATGTGTAGGCAAAGTCATGCTGGAGAATGAGCTGGGAACACGGCTTGGTTTTTGGTACTTCAATGGGTTTGGTTACTTCAAAAAATACAGTTGGTGGGGTGTCATGTAGAGGTGTGGGTTCGGAGAGAAGCTCAGATCGGAGGAGGTTGAACTTGTGGACATTGGCTGTGGAAAACAGAGGTTGGTGGAGGAGTAGGAGGAAGAAGAGGGGCAACAGAGAGGCCATGATTGACTGACTGGTGGTTGAGCTTTTGCTTTGGTGGTTTACTTTGTTTTAGATGCCTTGGTTTGGTGGTATTTTTCTGTTTTATTAGGTGTCTAGGAGTGGAAAACAATGGTGATTTAAACTATATAATTTTTATTTATTTATAAAATATCCACTTTTTGGTTAGAAATTCTGTTGAAGTTATTGTTGCGTGTGTTACGGCTCTCAACCTAAGCGAAGGAAATGATTGAATGTAGCCATTAATTGTAATTGTCAATCTCTGTGATGATGATGATAATGATTCTTTTTAAAAAAAATTTATTGAGTACAAGCGAAGCTATAGGGTGAGGGGGTTTACACACAAATAGTCTTGGGTGTGTTAGGTTTCGAACCTCTACTCACACGGCTTGAGATGAAAGAGCGCAACCAACTATATACCTACACCCACTGATATGATTGTTTTAGGTTTAATTTTAATAAGGAAAGTCAAATTTCAATTTAGTTTTCCAAATTAGCAAGTGCTTGATAAATCAATTTACTTTTCCCCCTTGCTCTTCAGCTTTTAATTTATCTTTTAGTAATTCCAGCACAAATCAATTGTGATAAAAGTACCTTGCAACAAAAAATTGTGATAAAAGTAGCTACATTTGGAACCAAATTTTGCAATTTTTATTTTCTACAAAGAGCAATTGGAATGTCTTTGGAAATATTGTACACACTACTACTATTGTGGAAGTGAACAGTGAAATTTCAAGTGAAACCAGAGAAGTCTATGAAGAATTGTATACCATAAGAAGAAATTTATCCACGCGGCTCTTTTTTGGGTTTTCTTTGTTGTTTTTAATACATTGTTAGCAACGAACATTCTCTATTATTTTCTGTCTGTAAATTTAACCTGTAATAGAAAGATTCAGAGGTCAGGGTGCAATGGAGAATGGACAATTCCAAGCAATTAATAAAGGCGGTTTGATTGATGAGATACTCCAGGGCAAGAAACAAACGTATAAAACCAATTGGCAGCCCACATGAAAAAAAAAAAATTAGGATAACAGAAATAAAAATGACCTAAAACAGACAAACAAAATTAGCATATAATTAAATTACCATAAAAGAAATTATTATAGCACCTCAAATTTAGCAACTCTAGTATAAAGACCACTAAATTAATCTTGCAATGTGAACTTTTGAGCAGTGTAAAACTGATCATATTGTTTGTAAGGTGCATGTCCTCTGGGTTATCTATAGGTGCTTTCTGCGTAAACATTGATGCTGTACTGCTAGAATTGATTTCATTCCATGAAAAATATCATCATTTCATTACACAATAAGATTTACACATCTCTGATATTTACACTCAATTAAGAGTTCGATTTAAAACTGATATTTGACCAGAGTCACCGTTCAACAAGAAAACCTCCAAAGGGACATAGGTGGAGGCTATTGATGATCCAAATCTGTAGGTAGGTTGCAGTAGTTTGCTTCCTTTGGCACACTGAAATGATCGAAGCCTCGGCCCAGTTCTCATCTGCCAAATCTGCATGACATTGCCACATGAGCAAACATATTTAAGTTAATCAAGTAAAACCAAGCTTGATCTTAATCAACTACGGCAGTGGTTTAGCAAATGCACAGAGAAGGCCCCATCAGTCCAAAACTAAACAGAATTTTGTGATCGTACTTAAATTTGAACTATATGTTCTCTCTTTAATACATAATGATATCCATTCATTCTATCCTCGGGCCCCCATTATATGCAACTCATTCACATCATTTATGTTAAATGGAAGAAGAGTGGAGCCCTGTCCCCATCATCTAATTTCGAACAAAACTTTCAAAAGCTTGCATAAAATTTTGAAATATGATTCTTAAGACAACTAATGTATAGAATGCCTCTAAAAGAATCAACTATCAATTTTACATTCTATTTCTCTAACATGTATGCATGGACTGCTGTACAATACCTTCAAGATCCACAATCGTCCACATAAGACTCATAATAATTAAGGTAGAAAATGTATCTAGAGGAACTTATCACTTTACAGTCTATTCTTTGCAATTAAAAAATTTACTAAAGAGTTCCTGATACAAGTACCTTCAAGAAAACAGGAAAGATTTATTTGCAGTCTAAGTAAATAGTAAGCTAGCAAAACAATGTAACTAAGAGAATGCAAAGGATCTTTGACTGTTTTAATGTCAGAAAAAGGAGAGAATTTCTGAGGACAAAGTAAAAGAAACTACCTCAACAATTCCTTTCCGAGGGGCATGAATAGCCAAACACAGGCAGTAATCACTCTTTGTGGGTTCATAATAACTAGAACCAGAAGCTGCAGTATCTTTTTTTGCCAGCATCTCCATGAATAGGCAACTAGCATCCCGATATCCCTGCAAATCGATTCAAACCACCATTAGGAAACAAAATGAAAGGAAAAAAAAAGTAAAAATAAATTCAAGGATTCTGGGATAAAACCTTCCAGAGCCGCACTATAACAAGTGCTTGAGTGTCTAAAAGCAATATACGACCAAGTGAATCTGTAATTGCAGCCAACGTGCCACTAGGTGATAAGGTAAGCTTCTCACCCTTTCTTGGGAAATCCTTCAAACATGTCAATGGCGAAGCTGTCACAAATCACACTGCAGGTCAGCCAAAATGCAGTTGATAAATGATTGTACGTAGAATTCGAAATCCAAGAAGAAAAAACCAATTATAATAGTACCACAAAAAAATTAGATTGGATTTCTTTTGAGCTTACACTAAAGCATATCATATCACTCTTGATTGAATGTCACAAGCACAGAAAAACTAAGGAATGTACTTTTTGTTCCACTTAGCAGTCCAAAAGCATGTTCAAGCGAATATATCATTTCTTGTTAATTATGTTTCAATACAATTAGCAAAGTTCCAAGAGCCAAGAAAGTAAGGAGAGCACAATAGTCATGCGAGTAGCAGACAGGGCCACCAGAGATACGGATGCATGATTCACCATTTCTCTATTCTTCGAGCTTATATTTTTGACTTTATAAGATCATGTCACTTTTGTGCACTTTTACTCAACCCCTCAGCCAAAAGAGTACTTTTGATTTCTAATTCCATTTATTTCATGTCTTTTCATCTGAGTCTATTGCTTTATTGGGTATTTGCACAATTTTATCATATTTTATTTCCTATAAATTTGCTATAGCCACAGATGCGCGCATAAATGTAAAGATCTATATGTTTCCATAGATATATGGAAAAAGCATAAGGTCTTTATATAGAGGCAATGAAGTCAATCATCAATATAATTCAATGATCTCCTCCTCCTTTCAACAATACAGTCGGGTGGAAAAACTACACAAATCAGTCAACAACATCATTAACTTTAAGTTAATAACAACAGTAAATTATTCTCACCTCGTGCAAATGGTTGAGGCTTCTCATCTGATTTTCTAGGTGAAGTCTGGTCACTCCGCCAAATCATTTTTGACAATGAAGCTATTGTCGAAAATGTTGCAGGCACAACTTTAGACAAGATAGCTCCCACCAAAGACCTATTTTTGTCTTCTGAAAGTCTTTATATGGAAAAAAAAAATCTAATCATTAAATATACCAAAAGAACATAAGAAAGAGAGCACTTTGAATTGCAAAACATAAGAATAAATTTTACTAATTGGGAAATTTTTGAATTGCATCATCTCATCACACTAACCTGAAGGCAGAAATCACGGCATCCTCTCCAACAGTGATTCCACAGTAATAATGTTCATTTGACTGCCCAACAATAAAAGCAGCTGAATTCAAATCCAAAATAACTTCAGAAGGCTTTCCATGATTTATAGGGAATTAACATCAGAAGCATTACTGCCAGGGAAAAATACAAAATACAAAAACGGTGGACAAGCATGGCAATAAGAAAAAATTGTAAATGTTACAGAAATAAATTTCGGTGCAATATATCCCCACTGTTTGACATCTTTTTATCTTTCAAGTCACTGGTGAACTCAAAAGAACTTATTCTATCAAGGTGGATCCTGAAGAAAGCATCAGAATATGAAAATAAGCAGGGTAATTCTACCTGGATTTCCATCAGTGGTGGAGGCATAATGCCAGTAATTGCTGCATCAGCACAGGTACCATACTTGCTGACACTCCATAACTGGTAAGGCAATTTACCATAAGAACGTCCAAAATCATCTGAGCTTCGCTTTCTGGGGTTTGGATCCCAAAACTGAGACCGTGTTTCTTGAAACCACTGGTGCAGCATATTCTACATTCCAAGCATGTAAAGCATATTATTAGAACCCATACTGATTGCGCTCCTAAAAGGTAGAAGCAAACACGAAAATCAAACCAGAAAAGAAGGGGCAATCTGAAATTTTTCCGAGTCTCCAACAGCAAACATCCATACCATCTTGTTAACTTATAACTAAAAATAATTTATCTTTGCATTTCACAAGGTGAAAGAGTGCAAAATTCAAGATAAACACTAACATGATTTACGCTCAAAGATGACATTACAGCTAAAACTCTTCATTGCTAGCAAGGCAAAAACACAAAAGTTTCTCATACCTGAATATCAGAACCATCAAAACGGGCGACTATGCCTGGCATAACAACACAAACCTCCTCCGAGGATGTTTCATGGCTCAAATCTCTCTTCGTTCCGCGCACTCTCAACCTTATAATCCGTGCAGGATATACCATCTGTAAGTACATAAATGAATCACAATGCCATACGAAATCATCATATTTACAAACCCAATATGCAAAAACTTAACGAACGGAATGAAATTTGCAACATTGAATGATAAATGTTCATCGACCAAACCGAATGTGGCAGCTTTACCTGTTTATGAATTAAATCACCAGCCAAAGAGAAAAAGAGGAGGGAGCCAGACGAAGTCCCGGCCACGACGACCCTTATCTCATCAAACACCAACCACTCTATAGCCGTGACGAACTCCGCCGAGATCGGGGACAATTCGGGTCGGATCTTGAGCCGGGTCGAGTCGGGCTCGGCCCACCCGAGAACCACAATAACGGAGCGGTTGGCGAGCGCGAGGGAGTGGGTGTCGAGGGCGCAGAGGAGGCTCGGGTTGTCGACGAGCCAGCCCTCCTTGCCCGCGCCGAGCTCGCCGAGCTCTTCGCAAGCTATGCTGCCCAGCTCTGTCGTATGAGCTCGCTTCGACATGGTTGATCGGATCGGGATCCAAGTAGAAGGAGCAAGACGAAGCAAGAGGAAAGAGATATCTACGGGTTCTGCTTTGCGTTTCGTAATAAGTATAATAAAAACGTCGTCGTTCTCTGTTCCATAATAAAGTATAAGTAAACGACACCATTTTAACCATCGTTTTGGCCATTAATGATGCATCTCTAAGATTAAACTGTAACACAGTTTTGGTGGTCGTTCGAGAAATCAAAAATGTTGAGCCAAGACCCCTCGCTCGCTAAAACCCTAAACCCTTCTCTCTTTCTCTTCACTCCATTTCCCAACCCTCTCCGCAAAACTCTAACACTTCAACCCATCAGCACCGCTCCTAAACGCCTCTGCATCAAAGCATTCTCCCAATTCCCTCAAAATTCCGACCCCAATTTCACATTTTCCCACCAAATTCCCCAACTCCGGCGGGACATCCGCTCGTTAGCCGGCCGTAGCAAGAAGAAGCCCGGAGGTGGACCGTCCCCGGGCCGAATCGAAGGTAACGCGGAGTTTCGCAAGGAGGTGAAGCAAAATGCTCGCCGGAAAAGCAAGAAGCTTGCGGAGTCCATGTTCTACCGACTCAAGAACCCTAGCCGGAAGTACGCTGATAACTTCACCGACGACGAGCTCCAGCAGATCGGGCTTGGGTACGACCGCATGGTCCGGTTCATGGAGAAAGACGACCCCAATTTGCGCCACCCCCATGATTGGTACAAGTACGGCGAATTTGGGCCTTACTCATGGCGTGGAGTGGTCGTCGGTGAACCGGTTCGGGGGAGGTTCACCGACGAGAGGGTAACGATGATTGGTGGAGTTAAGGACCAGGAAGAGTGGGAAAAGATTGAGCAATTTGAGATGGGTCAAGATTTTGGGAAGAGATTGACACAGTTGGACAGGAGCAAAGGGTTTAAGTACTTTTGGGTGTTTGTGAGGCACCCAAGGTGGAGACTTTCAGATTTGCCGTGGCAGCAGTGGACTTTGGTCTGTGAGGTGGTTGTGGAAGGTGATAAACAGAGGTTGGATAAGTGGAACTTGATGGGTAGGCTTGGGAACTTGACTAGGTCCATGATAACAAAATGTGCAGCTTGGATGAGACCAGATATAATATACGTGAAGAGGCCGGTTTATCAGTGTAGGTTTGAGCCTCAGGGTGATTTTTTCAGGGTGTTGGCGCCTTTTCTTGATCCGAAAACAGAGGAGGATTACTTATTTGAGTTGGAGAGAGATGATGGGAGTGTTGAAATGTGCACTTATTTTGGTGGGTTGTGTAAGATTGTGAAGGTGAATCAGAAGGCGTTTGTGGATGATGTGGTGAAGGGTTATGAGAAGTTGAGTGATGAAGAGAAGTCTAGGTGTTTGGGGTTTTTGCTGAAGAATCATCCGGTTCAGTTGTTGCATCCCTATACGAAGGAGTGGAAGGCTAAGTTGGAGGAGTGGGAGTTGGGTTGTGATGCTCCGGATGGTGATGATGATGTCCGCGGTATCAATGTGGCTGAGAAGGAGTATACGGATTGGATTGAGGTTGATGAGGATAATAATGAGGAAGAAGATGTTGTTATGGAAATGGAAGATGGCGGAGAGAATGAATTTGGGGATGATAATGAGAACAGCAATGATGACGAGGAGGAAGATGATGGAGACGATGAATTGGGAGTTGAAGAAGAAGAGTTAAGCGAAGAAGAGGATGAGAAATATTGGGAGGAGGAGTTTCAAAAGGCGGTGAGTAGCTCTGATGCAATGGAAAAGCTAGCAAAACGGAGTGTAGAGGTAAATACTGAGTACTATAAGAAGCAACTGAGAGCAATGGAAAGGAACAAATATGGAAACTTGGAAGATGATGGTGATGAAACCGCCTTGAGGAGAAAACGACCGACTGTGAGCCCCGAAGAATGGAAGATGGCTGGGTATGGTCCATGGAGGAAAAGGATTAAAAAGAGTAAAATTCCTCCGCAACTGTTCTTGCGAGCAGCAGTTAGACCATTCAATTACAGAAATCTTGTGAAGGAGATTGTTTTGACTAGGCATGCAATTCTGGATGGTGACTTCGGTGCAAAGACTTGAAACAATATCATTTCATGCCTCTTGTTTGGATCACTGTATCGGCTAGTTTAGAAAATTACAGAGAGCATATGTATGTTATGAATTGATGATGCCTCTTGTTGTATGAAGTTGAAGTTGAGTGCAAGAGAGTTTTGCCATGGTAGTTTTGAATCAACTTTTGTTGAGCTGCAATCTGCCTTATTTCATATTTTCTGTATTTCTAATGAATTATCTTAATTTGCTGTAAGTTAATAATTAAATAAATGGATTCTTGTAAAATAAAATAAATGAAGATAAAAATAATTATTTTGTTTTATTTTTTTCTTTGGAACTACAAAGCAAAGCAACCAGCTATAGCCTTTGCTGCTTTTCTCTCGTTCTTGCACTAAAAAATGGCGGGAAATCCCTAACCCCAAAAAGCCAAAAGCCTAACTTCCAAATGCTGACCATCCCCAATTTCCATGCAACTGTCGGTAACTGTATCTTCACCCATCTAATTCGCCACCTCGCCAAAACCCCTAACTCCGTGCTACTCTGTTTCCACACCCCGAAACGTTTCGCTCGTATCCGCTTCTCCACGGGACTAATGTCGTCTTCTTCTTCGACCCAAATATTGGCAGAGTACGCGAAATCGAAGAGGTCCTCCTGCAAGAAGTGCTCGAAAGCGATCGACGCTAAGGCTCTGAGGCTGGGCTTGGTCAGCAGAGACGCGCGCGGTTTCGACGTGACCAAGTGGCACCACTTGGATTGCTTTAACTTCGGCTCCGAGTCGGTTGCTTCGGTCGAGAAAATTAAAGGGTTTCAGTCTTTGGAGGTTTGGTCCATTTCCAGTTTTGAGTTTTGCTTTGTTTGGTCAGTGAGAATTAACTTTGGCTTCTGTTTTTAGGAAAACAAAGAAAAATGAAGTTGAAGTTTTGGGTGTTTTCTAGTTCTCGCCTTTGTTTCGAGAATAATTAAGCAGCTAAATGAAAAATGAACTCTTTTGCTTATAAATATTTAAAATAAAAATAATAAATAATAAAAAAACTGAAAGGAGGAACATTTTGAAGTAATTTAGATTGTTTTTTTTTGGGTAAGAACCAGGGTTGCATGTGTAAAGCATTGAAGTTTTGGTTTTCAAAATATCAATTAAAGATTGAGCTTTTTATCCCTTTTGGTTTCTGAATTTTCTCTGCAATCAAACAGGACCTTTGACTGTGGTAGTGTTAATTAGTTTAGCAGACATGGTTTCAAGTTTCAACTCTATTTGATTATTGTCCCACTTGTTTGTACTTTCAGAGTAGTGATCAGGAATCTTTGAAGAAATTGGTGGCAGCCACGGATAAATCTCGAGGGGAGGTATGCCTTGATTTCCTGCTGTAGATTGTGAATAAGAAAAACAAAGGAAAAAGGGAATAATATAAACTTACATGAGGGGGGCTTACAAGCCTGAAAGTCAGTGTGCGTGGTAACGAAGTATTATTAATCCTGAAAGTCAGTGTTGTGCTACAATAATGCGACTCAAAATTATTTCTTAATTTTATTTGGGCTCCTGCATCATTGAGGCTAAATTGAAGCTTGCTGAAAGTAAGATGATTGATGACAGAAAGAAGACAGAACAGCCTAGATACTAAAGGTTTATGAGTATCCCATTTCAGAAAAAGAGGTATCAGGCACCCAAAGCCTGGCCTCAACACAAAATTTTATTGTAAGGAGCTAAAATACTTCACTCATAATTATTCATAACATAATATGCATAGCTTATCTACACTCCATCCTGTAAATGGTGAAACTGAAAACTTGAGGGCCAAATAAACTTGAAAGAAAACAACAACTTACAAAGATGAACCAAAACCAACAAATAATGCCCTAAAATAAATGACACGCATATTCTAGCCTGACCAATTAACTCACAAAACAATACAAAAAAGACCAATATTCCCTTGATTTGAATACCAGCATATTCCATCTTACTCAAATCCATTAGCATTTGTTATTATAGTATATTAACGAGGGAAATTCCCAAGTCAATTCCAGCCTTTTATTCTTTCACAATTCTTGGTGAAGTGAACCCTTTGGTCTATTTGTTCGATTTCTGCTCTTCATCTTCTCGCTGAATCTGCTAGGTTATTAATGTCTTATTTGAAATACCTTTTTTTCTTTTTGGTAAAAAAATAATATTGAATCTTGCAGGGTTCAAATGAAAGTACACACGTGGTTCAAGGAAAGGAAAGTTCTCAAGGAAAAAGAGTAAACATACCCTATTTTTGGCTTCCTTATAACATGCTTTGCCAAAGGAAATTCCTGTGGTGATTTTTTATGTTTTCCTAATATAGGTTCATGAAGTAGATGAAAATGAAAATGAAGAAGAGGAAAGGAGCCTAAAGAAAGAGAAGGTATGCAGATGCCATTTTAGAGTGGCTAAACATATCTTTATTTGTATATATATCTCTTGGACTTGATTTGTTCATCTTGGATTTCTTCTACTTTACTCAGTGCGCTCTGAGATACTGTCTGAAAATTTGCAGTCACTCTACTCTCATTGAACATCTTTTCTCAACATCATGCTTCCCTACACATTCCTTCTTAAAATTTCAGGGATTGCATGCGAAATACCTTAGTGTGGTTCTTCTTATTTACTGCCTGATTCAAGCTTTTTATTCAGTTTTTGTAGACTCTTATTAAGTTTTCTGTTTGCTTCAGAATTGTCGTCCTCTACTATTTATTTCCATGTTTTTCCATATTGCAATTCCTTGTTTCCTGAGTTTTGCTGTGTCTTTTTGTTTCTGTTCCTAAGTAGATTACAAATATATCACATGGACTGAATGCATGTTACTCGAACTATTCCTTCTTTTATTCCTGCATCAACATCTAGGTACAACTGCAAGTCATAATTACTCAGGAACTCATTATATGCTTTATGCAGATTTGCTCATTTGTAATAATGAATTATGTTAAATAGGAGTTAAGCTATGCATTGTTTCTTGTCCTTGATATAACTTCCTATCATCAATCATTATTTGTTTTTTGTTTACAGTCATCTAAATGTGATGGACAAGCTAAGCTGGACATATCCTTTACAATTTCTGATGTGAAAGACAAGTACAAGGTCTGATCCATCTCCTTACCTTCAATGTGCATCTGTACATTTTGTGGAATTGAAGAAACTTTTTGTGCTTCCTAAAAAATGTACCTTTTACCTTTGTTTTCTTTCATTGGAAATGTTTACTGGTGCAGGATGCAACTCTTTCACCTAAATGGAAGGCGTTCCAAACAATCATATTTCTTGAACGGGTGAGACATTTATCTCTATTTGTAAAGGTTCTTTTAAAAAGCTTGTTTGATAATGAAAATCATTATAAGGGCTGATTTTATGCATACGTCGACGTGTTTGTCTATTTATTACTCAGGCTACTTTGTTCCACTTATAGTTTTATGAACAAAGTATTTTTATGTTGGATTTCCATTTATTTTTGTCATTAATTGCTTTTATCTGTTTTTCTTTCTTCCAACATAAAATGGTGCATATATATGTTCACTAATCACGACTTTTTATGATCTATAATTCTCAATTGTACACATGCAGTCATATGTTAGACCTACCAAACAAACTTCACTTGATAATTTTTAGCAGAGGTAGTTTAATGTTGTTCACGGGTTCGTTGTGTGCTTTGCTTTTTCACAGGATGATGGACTACATGATTCAAGTAAAATTGCTGCTTTTGATTTTGATGGATGTCTTGCAAATACTAATGTAAAGAGGTAGTGGATATTACTATTTTTACATTGGCATGAATGATATATGTACACATATATTATTCATGCCAATGTAATATAGTCCCCTTCTATTAAGAGATCCCTCAAATAAGAATATCATATCATAGGCTTCGATTTCTCACGCCCCATCAATCAAGTGAGAATTTTGTACTTCAATGGGTTTGAAATTTTTCTTCTTTATGTTAACTGACTTCATCAATCTTGATTAAAAGGAAATCCTCTGGGAATAATAAGTATATACTATATAGGCCCATGAGAAAGCATAAATATATCTTTTGAATGGTTTCGTGCAATGTAAATGTATAAGTGAGTTTCATTTGTACAAAAGAAAGAAGTTCTCATTTGGCCTAGACCCCAGAAATGTGACAAGAATTTTTGTTGACAACCTAATATGCTGGTCTAATCTCAGGGTAGGTGCTGATGCTTGGTCCCTTATGTATCCTTCAATTCCTGATAAGCTACAAAGCCTGTATGGGGATGGCTACAAGCTGGTTTGTATTTTTTTGTTATCATATAAGCTATTGAAATTTGTACAGAAGTCTTGTGAATTTTGGACAGTTTGACATTCTCGTTTGTTTAGTTGTTTGGGGCTGCACTAATTGAAAATTTGACCACGTCAGGTAATTTTTACAAATGAGTCCAACATTGAGCGCTGGAAGAACAAGAGACAAGTAGCTGTGGACTCAAAAATTGGTCGGCTCAACAACTTTATTAAGAAAGTGAAGGTCCCAATTCAGGTAATTCTTTCTGACTAACTTACATTGCCTACCTCACGTGGTTGCAAGATCCAACCATGCAATGGTCCATTTCTGATGCAACTGATAAATTCATCTTAAATTCTTAATCAGGAAGTCTGTTCTCCCTATGTGATAAGAGTCATTTGCTTGAACTACCCATATTTTCAAAAGGGGACATTCAGCCTTGGCAATAAGGAGAAAATAGTTTAGTAGTAATTTTTTTTAAAGTTAGTACTTCAGCTTCTGACATGTAGAAAAAATTCAATATTGTATAAGAGTGTTGAATCTTATGATGAGAACAATTATGTAGAGAACTATGAAATGACACATTTTTTCCTTAAGAAAAAAATGCAAGGAGTATTGAAGTTGTCGCTGTCCAGGTTTTCATAGCTTGTGGCCTTGGAAAATCTGGTGGTCAAGCAGAAGACCCCTTTCGCAAACCCAAGCCGGGGATGTGGCATATATTGGAACAACACTTCAACTCTGGCATTTCCATTGACATGGATCAGTAAGCTCTTTTCTTTTCTTGTTTGGTTACCATATCACTATTCTGCACATAGGAAGAGAGACATAGAATTGCTACCGTATTAATCAGTGTAGTTTTGTTCGTTTCAATAGCAATTATTATCGAAAGGACGGGATTAATGAGATTATAAAAGCTTTTTCTGTCTGCATTGTAGATCCTTTTATGTTGGTGATGCAGCTGGGAGAAAAAATGATCACAGTGATGCTGATATTAAATTTGCGGAGGTACTAATATCCTACATTATGATATTAAATTATGACATGCGTGGTTTAAAGTTTTATGTCCCAGTGGAATACTTTGGTGTTTATAGTTGTTTTTTTTTCTTTTGCAGGCTGTCGGTTTAAAATTTTATGTCCCAGAGGAATACTTTGGTGTTTGAGCAAGGGACGTTGATGTCGAAATTATGTTGCCCCTCAGCCCCCAATTTTAGAAAAAGAAATCTGTATCATGTAATTATTATGCAGTTGGCCTTTCTCGGAAGTTACTGGAACTTTTGTTTTGCTTAGAAGTAGTATTTTTTGTTCCTTGCTAGGAGGTTCTGTTAGCTTATGTTATGACTGAATGTTGCTCTAGCTTAACATCCAAAATTACATCTGCCGAAAAGCAAAAATTTCTCTGCAGATTCTGTTGTAGCATTGTAACATGCAGTTTGATAGTTCAGTTCTCCATTGTGATAGATAGATGTTCTCCTCTTTAATGACATTAATGTAATTTCAAAAACAAAATCAATGATGGCTTTTCTGGCTTTACGAGGGAATTATCTGATAAACAATTAGAACGAATTTCCTTTTGGCTAATTATTATTATTAAATATTTAAGTATTAAAAAAAAGATCAACCAAAAAGCTTAATTTAATTGCATGTAGTTTGATTGTGGTGTGTCAATTGTCAACTTCAACAGCTTGAGAGCCCTGAGCAAAACGTGGCAGCATCCCACAAATCTTAAATCCCATGCAATACGATGTTGTCAGATGGAACTGGAAGCAAGCAGCAAGCAAACGACTAATGAAGAAGAAGACCAATCAGCAAGAACTGGAACTGAGTGTTTTTTTTGTGTGGAGACGTTGAGACTTCGAGAGAGAATTCAATTGCTGCATTTTCACAACCACCACCAAGGCAACAACCAGCTACAAATAATCAACCCTAACCAGAGCAATGGATCCTTACTTCGAACAGAGACTCAGAGATGAAGTCATCTACCTCCACTCTCTCTGGCACCAAGGGCCCCCCACCTCCTCTAACCCTAACACTAACCCTACAATCAACAACCCCAACCCCAATTCATATCCCAATCCCACCAACACGTCAAACAGGAAGAGAAACAGAAAGGCAAGAAATGAAAGAGAAAGGCCCAACAAGAAGAAGCCCTCGCAACCCGACCCGCCTCCACATTCGGGCCCTCCTTGGCCCTGCCCGACCCCGATCCATGACTCCACTCCCGGTGCATCATTACCGTGGCCCACGAAGCCCAATTCGGCTCCGGCAACCCACCGTCCATCGCCAGAAGAACAAGCGAAACTCGCCGCGCTGAAACTACAACACAATGCCTTGGACGCTTGCCGTGGATTGTTTTTGGGCAATGCCGGGTCGGATAGCGAGGAATCCGAATCCGAACCTGAGGAGGACGAGAGTGGAGATGGAGATGACTATTGGGTTGAGGGTGGTGAGAGTGAAGTGTACAAGGTGTTGTTGAATGTGTTCGTGGAGAAGAGTGAGCTGAGGAGTTACTATGAGGTGAATTATGAGAATGGGGAGTTCTATTGCTTGGTGTGTGGTGGGTTGGGAAAGAACAAGTGGGTGAAGGGCTGTGCTGGCCTTGTTCAGCATTCGATTTCGATATCCAACACAAAGAAGAAGCGGGTTCATAGGGCTTTTGCGCAGGTGGTTTGTAGGGTTTTGGGTTGGGATTTTAACCGGCTGCCCACAATTGTGCTCAAAGGTGAAAGGCTTGGTCTTTCGTTGGAAAAGCCCGGCCAGGAACGAGTAAGCTTTGTCTTTGTTTGCTTGATGTTGGTTTGTGGTGGTTGTTCTTAATATTTTATATGAATTTGGTTGAGTTGTGAATGTTGCAGGGTGAAACTGAGGTAAATGCTGGTTCCTATGAGGGTGTTTCGGTTGTTGTTGAAGACAATGTGGCAGCTGAAAATGATGCTAATGCTGAATACGGTGAAAAAGAGACATTTGATGATCATCAGAATAAGGGTAAACAACTAATGATTTGTGAGGTTAGTTATGTCTATCACTTTTTAACTTAGTTTTTGGTTCTTGAGTTTTACATGAGTATCAGAGACAGTGTGCTTTTTAATTTGATTTGGGATATGTTGTTTCAGAACTCTCTGAAATATGATGATACAAATGAAAGCACAGAAAGGACTGAAAAGGGAATCCCAGAAATGGAAGCAAACAAAGAAGCAGTAGATACTTGGGTAAGATAATTGCGTTTAAAATGAACTGAATTCATAACTTCATTTACAAATGAACTGGTTTTCTTTTATTATATTTATTTTTTAATTTTCCATGATGCGGGATGTGTTCTTTCAGAATTCTTTCAAAGATAATGGTACAAATAAAAGCTCAGAAAGCATTGATAAGGGAATATCAGAAACCGGAACAAACAAAGAAGCAGTGGATACTTCTGTAAGATATTGCTATTGAAATGAACTGCATTGATAACTTCAGTTACAACTGAGATGATATTTTCTCTTCTTTTTTGCTTAGGGTTTAGTGAATGATGGCATACTCATTGTAATGCGAGGCCTTAAATCTCATTTTCTGGAGCCTACAAATGTTTTTTTTACTCATTTTTAAAGAAAATATATATATATATAATGTAGGAAATTGATCAATCACTGGTCTCAAAGACTGAATGGCCATGTAAAGAGTCCAGTGTTTCCTCGTCAACAGTGTTAGGTTGGCCGACCTTTAGTTCTCACTCGTCTTCTGCAACATGCTCCATTCCGGTGGAAGAACAAGCAAGGTCTGCTACATTGTTGTTACAGCAGAAGGCCTTAAAAGAATGCCAGGATTTCTTTGCTGGCTACAGTGGTGAAGACATCAGCGAAGATGAGGATGAAGGCGATTTGATGGATGAAGATGGGTCTGACGAAAGTGAGGAATTAAAGTTCTTTTCAAAGATATTTACAGATCATGGCGAGTTAAGGAGTTTTTATGTCAATAATTACGAAGATGGGGAATTTTACTGCTTGGTTTGTGGTGGGGTAGGGAAGAAAGTATGGAAGAGGTTTAAAGGTTGTGTGGCGCTTCTTCAGCACTCCACTGCAATATTAAAGACTAAGAAGGTGGCTCATAGGGCTTATGGCCAGGTTATTTTTAAGGTCCTTGGTTTGGATATTGGTCAGCCTCCAACCGTTGGGTCTAAAGATATACCTCTTGATGATGGACCTTTGGCAAAGTCAGACAATTTGCAGGTAATTATTGCATGTGTGATATGCTTATATAGAGTTGTTCCTGAATTCTATAAGCGCTTTTATTGAACGTTACAGGGTGAACTGGAGGAAAATGCTGATGATCACAAGGATAATGTTGTTGTTCCGAAGGAAAACTTGGACTCTGTGAGTGATCATATTGGTGAAACAGTTTCAAAGCAGGAATCTGTTGTTGTTCAGAGTACTGGAACATCAAAGACATGTGAGTTGCAGGTGAGTTCCATCTCCATTGTTCACTCCTCAACAATGTCATATACTGAGTCACAGATTATTATGTCATACGAAATATGTGTACATACATCATAGAAGCATACTTATTTGTTCCTGAATTCTGTAAGTTGCCCTTGATTGAAACCTTTGATTGAACACTGCAGGGTGAAGTGGAGGAAAATGTTGATGATCACAAGGATATTGCCGCTGTTTTGAAGAAAAACTTGGACTCTGTGAGTAATCATAGTGGTGAAATAGTTTCAAAGGAGGAATCTGATGTTGTCCAGAGTAATGGAGCATCAAAGACATGCGAGCTGCGGGTGAGTTTCACTCAGTTGTTCACTCAACAAAGTCGTGCTGAGTCACAGGTCATTATTTTATGCGTAATATGTTATATACATCATAGATTCATAGTACGTTGCAGGTGAGTTCCATCTCCGTTGTTCACTCCTCAACAAAGTCATGTACTGAGTCACATTATTATGTCATGCATAATTAGAATCATTTGTTCCTGAATTCTGTAAGTAAGTTACCTTTCATTGCTGCTGTTTCGAAGGAAAACTTAGACTCTATGAGTGGTCATAGTGGTGAAATAGTTTCGAAGGAGGAATCTGATGTTGTCCAGAGTAATGGAGAATCAAAGACATGCAAGCTGCAGGTGAGTTTCACTCAGTTGTTATCTCAACAAAGTCATGCTGAGTTGCAGGTTTTTTTAATCCGTAATATGTGCATATACATCACAGATTCATAATTAGTTGTTCCTGGATTCCATAAGTTGGTTTCATTATGCATTGCAGGGTGAATTGGAGGAAAATGGTGATGATCACAAGGCTAATGCTGTTGTTTCGAAGGAAAGTTTGGGCTCTATGAGCGGTCATAATGGTGAAATAGTTTCAACAGAGGAATCTGATGTTGTTCAGAGTGATGGAACATCAAAGACAAGTGAGTTGCAGGTGAGTTTCAACTGAAGTTGTTCTCCTCAGCAAAGTCATGCTATGTCACAGATTATTATTTCATTCATAATATGTGCATATGCATCATAGATTCCTAGTTGCACCTGCGTGTTATAACATGGTTATAATTGAATATTTGCAGGGTAAGACTGAGAAAAATGCGGGTGGTCCCAACGAAGATTTGAACGTCTTTATGGAAAATTTAGACCCTTTGTGAACAGTGATAATATTGACCGAGTTTCAGGTGACTTTTTCATGTTTGTGATATATACTTTGCGTCATAGTATTACATTGCTTTTATGGAACCTTGCATGACAAGCCTGAGAGAGCTGAGCATGGTCACAATCAAGATTCGGGTATATCATCGAAGATTGAGACTCAGTTTTTGTTAGTGTTTGACACATTCTGTTATCCATCAGAATGATGAAAACATAAGCGGTCTCTGCGGTTGTGCAAGACTAAATTCTTAGCTCTTCGTGAAGAAAAGAAGGGAATGTGAAGTCATACTTTTAATTTGCGATATGTACTGTATAGATAGGGTTCTACTCTTTCAAAGAAGGACAAGCATCATTGGAAACAGTAAATCTATAATGAAATTCTATCTTGGCACTGATGTATTCTCTATATATTTTCTCAAGAGTATTGTTACTATTAAGAATAAATTAATATTGTAGTTTCTTTTAGTAAAGCATTAGCTAGGTGACTCTTCAATTTATAACTTGAATACGTACGCTACAATGTGAAGAACCAATTAGAGTAAAATTAAGATTTAGTACCGACTGTAGCATTTGCGAAAGAGAGACTGAAATATTGGATCAATTTGTTTTGTATATTAGTATATCCCCCAGACTCACGAATACTGAACCCGAAATGCTGAAGTTGGGACCTCCAGCTCCAGCCCCAGACCAAACTGAGCTCAGAGTTGGTTTTTATTTCTCAGTTTACTACTTAACAAAAGATTGAGTTCTTCATTCTTGTTTCATTTTCGTTTCGAATTTTGATCAGTAAGTCATAGAGCCCTTCATTAAAAGTCAATCCAAAGGATTGATATATGTCCAACCTGGTTCTAAAAGCCCTAACCAGAAGAGTGGAAAAAAGAATCTTCCATGTTATTTTTTCCAAAGCCATTCACCTGGTTCCACGTATTTTTTACAATACGTGACGTGACCGCAAAACTACGACACCCACCTTCAAATCCACATCCTTCCAATTATTTTGAAAATTTACATAAAATTATGAACCACCGAAGATTTCAACAGCAACCCATGGCATAATCATACAAAAGCAACATTTACAATATAAGCATCCTCCGACCGAAACATAACCATTGAATTCTCTTTATGTAGAGTGGAGCACATAAATGGAAACATCCACAGGCACCAGCACCAGCTTCTTAAATAAAAGATAAAAGAAACAAAAGAAATTATCTTACTCACAAGCCAGTTTTGTGCCAAAGCTGGTAAGGCAAATAGCAAATGCCTGGAAGGCTGACAAGGGCTGCCTATAATCCATCGTGAACGTATCATCACCCACTTTTCCAAACTGAAGAACCGTTTCCTCGTCTCCTTTCCCCCCTGGCTGGCTTGGGTCCATTGTCGCAACCAGTTGAAAGTTCTTCACTGATGCTACTGTGACCCGACCATGGAAATTCAAACACCAGCACTGCAACTGATCATGCCATCTTGGAGCTTTATTCCTCAAGATGGTGTAGCCAGAACTGGTAGATTCTGGTTTCTTCATCTTGGATTTTTCCAAAGGTTTACCAATTGCAGTTTCACCTGATGGTGGGCAATTAAGCGGGCAGACCATCCTCCTTGGACCTCTTGATTTTAGAAGGTTGAACTTGTAAGAGACCTGCCCAACTTCAAAGTTGCCTGCTGGAACTTGGGGGCTTATTTGCTTGCTTGCGAAACGGCGGGTAGACCGGCTGCTTGCAGGCTTTGCACCAGTATGCGGCGGCTGGCTGTCATAGATTGTAAAATTGGTGCCCAGAAAATCCGAGCTGCAAAAGGGTTTGGCGTTAAATAAGAGTGCAGATGAGAAACGGGTTAACATTGAAATTTGTTCTTGTAATTCAATAGATCTTGAAATATGACTGGTTGGGGGTTTAAAAGAACACAAATTTTGAGACCATAAAATTTTGGTTTCATCGTGAAGTCAATTGACCTTTACAGTCCAATTTCTCTGAAATGCAAACTAATGAAAACCCAGTGTCAAACTGGTTCAAAATTGTAATCATATCAACCCAACTTGGTACTGGACTGAAACCTCTTATTGGTAGTTCAAAATATAGTTCTCAACATATGAAGGTCCTTAAACCAGAAGACATTATATGTTACTACCCACTAAAAACGATCAGAAGGAACTACATCACATAATCAATCACCTTAACTCTCTTAAGAAGAATGCCTTACCTTAGTTTTCCCACATAAGCATTGCTTCCTTGGGATATGTCATCGGCATCAAGCGATATAATATACTCAGTGTGAGAGCCACGCCTATATCTTCGTGCTGCTAAAAGAAACTTTCCCTTATCTGTGAATGCTGGGAAGGAGAGAGAAAGAAATATCACAGAGCACAAAAAAGAAAAATAACCATTAGCATGTCACAAACCACTCACAAAGTGCCAAATAAAACAAAAGATCAACTGCGATACATACAATACAAGAATTAATAAGGAAGCAACATTTATCTATAGCCTCAATTTATGCACAACCAACACAATACCATAACAATAATTTGTTTCTGTCAGTAATCTAAAATCAGACAAATTTCTCAGACATAAAGAAAATACAGTAACTTAACTTCACAAACTTATAAGTGTATTTAATGAGTATCTTTCAGCATTGACTAAGTGCCGTTCAATAATTTCTTCAGGCAAGCAATACCCGTTTAAAACTTATAGGTTATATTAAAGGTTTAAACTAAATCGATATCTGATATTCAAGTCAAAATCATGTAAGACCAGGAAACTAAAGTTTTGTTCAACAAGTCTTAGACAGATCTTGCTGAGTCAAGTCAACTTAGGAATTTAATCACCAGCCAAAAGTCTCCATTTTGTAGTTAATGAAAAGTCAACTTAAAGGTTCAGACCACGAAAATTGCCCCTTTTGAATATGCCTACAGTGACTTGCAGAATTTGAATTAGTAAGAGTAAAACAGCTTCTGAAGACATATAGGAGGAAGTCATTCCAGAAGTTGTTCTCATGTACATACTCACATGGGGTGAATGCAAGATAAAGGTAAAATGTTGAGGTCTTCTTGTTTCGTTTTATTAGACATTGATGGGGAAAATCGCATGGTCCTGGCTGCAAGAATCACAAAGAAATAAGACAACCAATTGCAAATCAGTTATTACAAACCACTAAATTCAATGAATCACTGAACACGTCAATATTGTCAATGACAAACCAGAAGCAACTTAGTTCAAAACTTCAATCTCTCTTCAAGAAATGCCTGAAAACACAGCTAACCAAATAATCTTCATAGTTCATTCTCTTTTATATGTAAGGACTACGATTAAGCTTCTTTCATTATCTAAGAGTAACAATAACAATAATCTGCCAGAAAATTCATAATTTCTGCAATCACAACATCAACAGGTTAGATTTTGTTTTGCGAAACACAAACATAACTTATTTATAGGGAAACCCATAAAAGTATTGTTTTTAAGACACACAAGACAATGAAATCAAATTTTACGAACTTCTTTTAACTCTGTGGCCAGTGCATATAGTGCTTTTAAATTCCAAATTTTCATTTAACGGATAAACTAATTCGAAAGGGGAAACTAAAACAGCTCCAAAATGGGGTAGAACGTTGAAATTCGGTGTGTTTTTATATCATGCACATTCTTCAAAACTTACTCGAAAACTTCTGAGTTACGAAAATTCACTCCAATCACAGATGAGCCCCATTATGAATTTGCGACCCTCTAAGGTTTTAAACCATTTCCAACTCTTGATTTTGCCATCATCCAAGAAAAGTTTATCATCATTTCAGATTCTAATAGTGAAATTGCAGAAAGCAAAATCCTCCACTAAATTAGCAAACTTTCAGACAATCCTGATCGATCTCCTACGGAGACTATTCAAATCGCAAACTAAAAAAACCTAAATACTATTTAAAAAAATAATTCAATCAATCGAAAATGATATTGCCAAGGGAATACCTGTTTAAGGCAAGAAGGGAAGGTAATTTTGCCACTGTAGGAAGGCGAGCGCACGATCTGCTTGGTAATATCCCTCCACCGCTTGCAGACACAGGCGCAAGCGACGACGTTTTGGCGGTTAGGCCACTTGTCCTCGCTATTCTCCACTCTCTGTATGATCTCGCCGAGGAGCTCCGGGAGCATAGTCGACCACGAGGACGATGACGACGAGTCGGCATAGTCCGCGACTCGGTCCAACTCGGCCGAGTCGCCGCGCGCGACTCGGCGGTCTCCACCACGAGCCTGATCATCGTCTCGAAATTTCAATTCTCTAAACGATTTGGAGAATTTCCGAGAGAGCAAGGCTTTCCTCAGAGACATGGCTTGGGATTGGGGCTTAGGGTTAGGGTTTCGATCTCGTAGACATTGGTAAAGAGAGTTTTTTTTCTTATGGAGAGAGGAAGAGCGAGGGAACGAGAGTGATAGAGGTCGATGATGAATATGAGAAAATAAAAAATGATTTGTGGTAAATTGACAGGCTGTGACGGGTGAGAGTTGGAGGTCCAATAAGGGAGTGAGGATGCGACACGTGGAAGTTGTGGAGACAGATGTAAATTGGTGTTGGATGACGGGACCGTGAGATTAGAGGTATAATGAAAGGGTGGTGGGAGTTTGACTGGGTCAATTCAACGGAATAGATGAAGCCGCAAGCGGCAAAAGACTGTAACCAACCAGTAACTCGTTATCTCGAACGCGTCTCCAATTCTTTTTTTCTTTTGTTTTTTTTGGTGTGAAATCGCTTGCTGTTACTCACTTTAACCCCCTGATAATTTTTTTTAAACAAAATTAGTAAAAAATTATTGGGAAAGTCACTATTATACTCAATATATGGGCCCAAATCATATGAAATGTATTTTAAAAACACACCCGAAACCCATTTAAAATATAACAAAGAGACTTCGAACTTTTTATAAATTACAAAACTGCCATAATTTCTTAAAACAAATTCAATCTCAAAATCTCATTAAAAAAATCCGAAATACTCAATAGGTTATTAAAGTAATTTAATAATTTAAATTAAATTAAATAGGGTCAACTGTCATTTTTTGGATTTTTTGTTTTTGTTTATAGAAATTAAATGGTGTATGGTTTATTTATATTACTAGTGCTAAGAGCATCTCTAACCGATATGTCAAAAGTGCCACATAGACATTTAACGGTTAGATATAACATCTCATATCACTTCAACCAAATTGTCAAAGCTGATGTGGAATAAAGGCTTGAGGTTCAGCTGTTATTTTTGACATCCCAAAAGCAAGATGTCAAATGGATATTTTATTCTTTTTAAAGACAGCTGGTTATAACTTTCATTTATTATTTTACAAATTTATAAATAAACCCAATCCTAAACATGTATTTATAAAAAAACCCAAGCACTATTTAAATATAGAAACACACCCAAAATCAACCTCAAAGTCAACTTTTTGGGTGTGTTTATAAATGGGTTTTGAGTGTATGTAATGATGGGTTTTGGGTGTGTTTATATGTTTAAATAGTGCTTGGGTTTTTTTTATAATTTCAACCCCCATTTTGGGTGTTTTAGTGAAACTCCCTTATTATTTTCCTTTTTTATTTTTTTCTTCTTTATCTTAAATGATTTGACTGTTCCAATAATTATTTATTTGACATATCGGGTGGAGTATAAAACTGTTTAAATGTCAAATTGCCACATCAGCCATCAAATTTAAATTTGATATTTGGTATTTGACATCTCCCTTGGAGATGCTCTAAGAATGGGTATATCACTAAATATCTCAAAAATATTTGTAGTTATTTCTAGTTGACCAACAAAATCAATGTTAATTTTTATAGAATTTAATTTAGGGCTTTTTTTTAACTTTGAGCCAAATTGATATTAATTAAGATTTTTTTTTGGTATGACAAAATCCACTTTTTTCTCATTTGTAATTTTGCTGCCAACATGTAAAGAAGTATCTAAACAATACTTAGAAGGACGGAAATATTTCACTCAGCCCTTCACTAAAAATGAATACATTAAAATTAATCAATTACCCATCAAATTCTTAACGGTACACATAAGCAAAATGGCAAATATCACTTGCCTATCAAATCTCACTCTCACACCACCACTCATACCAACCTTAAAAACTGAATGAACATCCAGAATGAATATCTAACTCCACATGGACAAGTAATCCTAAACTCCAAAATAATAGATGGAATACAAGCTAATAAGTGCCGAAGCTATAATTAATTTGGCTTTCTCCAATATCTCACTTAACTAAAATCGTATCCACTTAACTAAAATCGTATCAAGCGGATGTGCTCCTCACTCCGCACTCGAGTTTGAATCCACATTCCCGTAATCTAATCAATTTAGATTAGACTAAAGTAAAATATTGTTTGCATAACAAAAAAATTGTCCCAAGATAATTGATCAGACTTTTAATTCTCCCATTTTCAACTTAACAAAAGCTAGAATCATGATCACCTTTCCTTTATCCATTTATTAAGCACCAAAAGGATAAATTGTATGACTACGTTAGTCATGCTAATCTGACCTCCCCAATCACAAAGAATGAATGCCTATTTCATTGATATAAAAAACAGAGAGAGAGAGAGAGAGAGAGAGAGAGAGAGAGAGAGAATGGTAAGACAGTAAAAATGAGAAAAAGACAGACAAGGTGAAACCTTTTGCTCAAAACAAGGTTGAATTAATATCTCTCCATCCCGTAGTTAAAGAAAATAAGTTGGAATATTTTCTTGTGAAAAATAACAAAAATGATTATTTATTTTTGAGGTGAAACCATGGTTCTTCTTATTGAGAGGCAGTGCAGGGAGTGCCCTCAGCACGACACGTCATCCATGCAAAAAATACAAGTGTTCGCTTGCATGGCCTTGGACGCTCATACGAAGACACGTCGAAATATATTTTTCTCCTTTAATTGCCATCAAACTTTGCCCTTTGACGAAGCTTTTTGTCTCCTTTGTTTCACTTGCATCTTGTTTCCTTGTACGAATCATTCAATTAAACAGATCCAACGGTGAATCCAGTACGAGTCTTTTATTAACCAACGGTGCTGATGGATGATACGAAACACAGCAATATCCATTTTGTTAAACAAAAAGAAACATTTTAAACAACCTGCATAGCTGCAAACAAAGTACAAACGCGTACCCAATTAACATCCGCCAACGAACAATAACCACCGTCCGATCACAATCACGATGATCAGAAAAATCAGACATTCCCACGTTGACGGTCCTGATTCATTCCCCAGCCACGGACCCCAAACTGCAACTCAGCAGCAGCAATCAAAAACTCCACAGCCTGCTGTGGTGTCAGCAACTCCACCACCTTCCTCACCGTTCTCAGCCTCAGATCATCCGCCTTCTTCAACACGCTCACCAGCCGACCCATCTTCATATCCAGATTCGTGCATGCCCCCATCAGCTCACTCGCCCCCTCTTGCCACTCCGACAACTCCTCCGATATCGCATTCTCCTCCTTCACCTAGACAACAAACAAAGCAATTAATTAAGTGAATTACAAAAAATATCGGGCTGATTAGTACAAATAAAGTTTTTGGAAGAAGAAATTCAACACATGACATGCAGAAGAACACAGAACATGCAGAGTTAAATGCTCTTAACCATTTGAACGTTAGTTATAAATATGAAATAGGGAATGCGGTTGTTAATGTTGGTGGTTAATTTATAGGGTGTGCTTACAGTTTCGCATTGGAGTTCGCTGACGCGGCGGAACTGGGAAGGGGAGAGGTCCCCGAGGTCTCCGGTGCAAAAACCGCGGAGGATGTCGACGATGTGGGCCTCGAAGTGGATGGAGGACTCGGAGTAGACGAGGTGGAAGGCGGTAGTGGGGCGCCAGCCGGCGATCCAGTGGAGGGAGCGCTCGAGGGTGGTGGCCCACGGGGCGACGAAGACGGCGAGGGCGTCGCGCTCGGTAGCGCGGGCCTTGACGCGGTAGTACTCGTCGTAGTGGGACATGACTTTCTGGACGACGTGGAGGAGGTGGTGGTGGTGGTCGGGGGTGGTGGGGCGTCTGGGACATGTGGAGAGCTGGTGGACGAGGTGGTGGAGCTGCTCGAACCAAGTCTCGTAGAAGCTGGTGAAGCTGCTGCAGCTGCTCATTGTTGGGACTTTTGGGTGGTGGTTGATTTTTTCCGTTGGGTGGAAAATTGGGTTGAGAGAGGGTTTGAAGGGTTTTTGGGGGGTTTGGTTTTGATGCCAATTTGGATGTGTGTATGGGGCGTGGGGTTTTGTTATTGGTGATGAAGTGACAACGAGGCACGTACTTGGCTACGTGGAAGAAGATGGTGAAATGTTTTCTGTTTGATAGATGTGGGGGTATGCGTTTGTTTTGCTTTTTCTGTGCAGTGCTAGTGTGGCAATTTTGCAGTAGGTTCAGGTTGGTTGGTTTGCTTCTGGGTGAGGAAAAAGATACAACCTATGACCTATCCAATCTGTAAATCCCGGTTTACAGTTGATGGATTGTGACTCTCTACCTTCCAGGAAGTTTCATGTCAATCTTTGCATGAAAGAGCAGCTCGGGAAATTGTTAGCCAACAAATTTGTGTGTCTCGATCGGGCACAATATTGCAGGTTCTAGTAGAATGATTTGAGTTATTAAAAAATATCGACTCAGAATATAAAAATAACTCAATTCTTGTGGCGCGGTTTGTCTCATTGATGAAGTCAACAGGCAAAACTGTAACATTTTGATGCCGAACATATCGCACCTGCTCTGGTCAACTGCTTTTGTTTTGTTTTGTTTTTGTTTTTCAAACATCTGACCTCAATTATCCCTTGCACATGGCAAGACAATGATTATTTGCTCACCCACTGTTGTGTTCATAACTTCATACAAATGTATGTGGTTGGAGGGTTTTACATTCAATGGAGCCTTTATGTAACAACCCCCAATCTCTAATTTGAAGAGATTTTCCCTTTGCTGGCTTACAAATAAGGTAACGTTATTTAAAATAATTTGTCAAACTCTCAATCTTGATGTACATGTATTCATATATGCTTTTTCCCAATCTAGGTGATTGATAGTTCGATAAACGAATGTTTCTAGGCAAAAATAAACATAAAAGCTTCAACTCCAAAAGTCCCTCAAGGCTTTCAAATGAAAAATTGCTTTGAACAATCTGACTGCAACATATAACTATATGTACCAAACATTGTCAGACGCGAAATCATCTCCATTCACAAAATCATCTCAAAGTAGTTGTAGATGAGGAGGAACATCAAGTCCCTAAAAGCCATTGGATTGACTCAAAATCATCTAGAGAGACAAATACAAGTTGAGATTCTTTCATTGAAATCCTTGTCCTTCCTCTCGCTTGGTTACAACCAATTCACCAACCTCATAGGGCAATAAAGATATTGAGGAGTTACAAAAGTCTTCACACACTCTCCCTTGCCGGTTCCTTTGAAGTTGAGGGAATGCCGTCAAATGATGACATGGTCAAAAGCTCTATGTGATGATATTAGTGCGCATCAACATGATAAAAAGAAGGCTTAGAGGCTAGATTGGTTTTTCTTTTTTTCTTTTGTGTTCCTGAGGTAATAAGGCAGTGCTTGTTCTTATAACTATGTCTTCTTTTTCGGATGTGATTTGTTCTTATAATTACGTCTTCTTATTTGTGTCTACTCTTCTCACATACTAGTAAATTTGTGACATTTGATTTTAATAATAGTAAAGTTTGCCATAATTATCATGCTGATAATAAAGTTGAATTTGGTTTTTCTTGTGTATATTCTTGCACAAATACCAAAATTGAAGACTGTACGGCCCCAACTCTGTTATTGGTGGTGGAAGAGCTAATATTGGTCGTATATAATCTCCATATAATCTCGTTGTCAATATGTTTTTCTTTTCACTTTCCAATTTTTGTACAGCTTGTCTTACGCTCTTCTTGCTTGAAATGATTGTTTTGGTTAATTTCATAAAGGAACAAAGATTCCTCTGTCAAAAGAATCAATCCATCTTGAAAATGCTTGACAGGAAGCTTATTGGGGCCCGGACAATGTTAAATCTACGTGTTTATATAGGATCTAGATACTAATTTTAGGACACTGCTTCCCTTCATCTCTAGAAGGAGACATTCCTACTTTTCACAAATCAAAATTTGACACTTATACAAAAATAATTTAGTACAAACACAAAACATCTCTACACACATATCAAAATGTGATTGACAGGAAAGTAGGAGTTTCTACTTCCAGGGAATGAGGCAAGTATTTTCCTTAATTGAAGATGGCACAGGAATCTTTGTTCCTTTTAACATTCTCACTACCCTTATAGGGTAGTGACAAAGGGCAGTGAGAATGTTAAAAGGAACAAGGATTCCTCTGTCAATCCATCTTCAAAATGCTTGACACGAAGCTTGTAAAACATGGGAAGATTTGTATAAGAACTCGTTCACTTGCCATTGCGGCGTTTTGTCTCATTGATGCAGCCAGCCACCAGGCAAAACTGTAAACCATTCTGATGCCCAGCCTCGCACATGCTCTGGTCAATTGTTTGTTTTCCAAACATGGCAATCGTCTGACCTCGATTTATCTCTTGCACGTGGCAAAGTGAAAGACATTATTTGCACACCCGCTGTTGTGTTCATATATATGGTTAGAGGTTTTCCAGAGAATTTGTTGAGGGTTGACCCCAATCTCTGGTTTGAAGAGATGTTCCCTGTGCTGATCTAAAAGCCATGAAACGTTCTTTAAAGTAGTTTGAAATGTCAAATCTTAAATCCTGACCACATATTCAGATATGATTCTGCCCAATCAATAACCTTTATTGATAAAGTTCGACAAAAGAATGCATCAAGGCAAAAACAAACATGAAAGCTTCAGCTCCAAAAGTCCCTCAAGGCTTTCAAATGAAAAACTGCATCCAGCTATCTAGCCGCAACAGAGAACAATACGTACCCAACAGACTGTCAGACTCAAACAATCACTATTGACAGAACTATCTCAAAGCAGTTGTAGACATCCCCTTAATTTTTGCAAACTCCGTTATCACGAAACTCATTTTGACAGATTTATGTAGAAACTGAGTGAAAACTTTGAAGAAAACTAGCATTACATATCACCTGCATTAAGTGAAGGTTGCAGAACTCAGTGAAGTGATTGCCTCATGGTTTTGGCTACATTATGTGAAGTTAGAAGTCAGAACCTCCAACTGATTATGCATAAGCATCCGAGGATAGTTGAAAGGGAGCATGCTGCAAAATCCATGACATAACAGTAGAAAACTACTGACTCTCACCGCCCTACAAATCACATACATATCGCCTATTGTCATACTGGCACTAAGTTCCAATTTCATTAATAACTTAAAAACATGCTTGTTTATATACTTGAAGATGGTTTAACGTAGCATCTACACAAATACAAGGTCCACTAACATATAATTGTAATCTTCAACAGTAAGTTGTTCTGATAACCAACAAATAAAATAGTGCAATGCATGACTATCCAAAGTGAATAAATAGAAGCATGCATGCTATGGGGAACCCCAAGCCACCTTATGCCAAAGCATCTTAGATAAAGACTTCCTGAACTCGTACCTAGCATTATTCACAGACGAAAAATAAGCCTCGATTTGGATTAGAATCCACAGCTTCAATAGACATACATATTCTAAGATGAGAAAGCTCTTCGGTACTCACAATAGCACCCCCACACTGCGCGCACGCACACACACACCAATAATCTCACCTTCTTACTCAATATCAATAATCTCGCTATTTGAGTCATCCTCAAGAATGGTGTATATTTCCAGAATCAAACTAGAAACTAGAGAGAAAATGTCACACAAGAAGCACAAATGTATACAAAATCGAAATGTTGACAATCCCCATTACCATTCAAATTTGTACACTAAATACTCGGATTAGCAATTTGATCAAACTAAAAATGAAGCCAAAGAAATTCGCACACATAGGTATTTCGTATATTCAAACAGATTGAAAGACATGAATTCTTGCACCATTTTCCACATACTTTAACAACCAAACTAAACTACCAAAGCTCAGTCTAACACGAGTTCAGCTGGAGCAGCACATACAAACTCAAAATGAAGCCAAAGATCAAGCTCACTCATCAAATTCCACGATAAAAATTGAAAATTTGCCTTAAAACAACAGCAAGATTTTCAAATAAAAAACCTGGAGATCACTCAAGGGCATTTGCGGCATTTTCAGGGAGTTGTTGCTGCTGCTGCTGCTGTTGTAAAATGGACTTGCGCTGAATCTCACGCCATTTGTTGATTCCAACAGTGCAAATAACTGCCCAGAATTTAAAATCAGCCAACCATTTAAAAAGGGAGAAGAAGAAGAAGAAGACTTAAAATTGAAATGAAAATTCATGACTTACAGCCAGCGCCGACAAAATAAAGCAGACGAAGGAGCTTTGGTGCTGGGGGCCCCGCTAATTCTTCTCCACTCATTGCTCCTCTTCTTCCTGTTACAGACTCTTCTGTGTGAGAAGTTGAGAACTGAGAAAGACTACGACGACCCGTTTTAGTCCAGAAACTGAAATGGGTCGGATCATATCGAACTCGGGTGTTTATTTCTGCATGTCCGGCCTGTGCCTCGGAGGCCCGAACACAATTATATTACAAATGTTGGGCCAGACCCGAACCAGTTTTGGCCCAAGATAGCAGAGAAAACTTATCTTTTGAGACTTTGAATTAGAATTTGCAGAGAATTGAAGGAGACTTTGATTCCATATCTTGGCTTTAACATATTGATCCAATGTGCATCTTTTTAGTGTTTTTTGCTTTGATTTCTCACTGATTATTTTTGGGAAGTTGAAATTTGTGACCCTTGATTTCTTGATGGGTTATCCATGAAAGTTAATAGAAAATATTTTTATAACATGAATAGGGCATCAACATATGTTTATATCTGGTTTGACTCTTATCAATTTCAACATTTTGCTCTTACAACTCAATGTTATGTTATTTTTTTATGGAGTTAATGAATACAGGCAAAGTGAAACGGAGAATTGAGTTTCAGGGAGTAAAGTATGACAAATTGAGTTTCAAGTGGCAAAATGAGATTCAAATTTAGTTTCAGAGGACATATAAATAATTATGCCTTTTAATTTTATGTTATGCTACTTGTGTAACATGAATAGGACGTCAATGTAATGTTGGATCAGGCTTGACTGTCATTGTCACTCTCAGGCTATATATCTTCCCAATTATGTGAAAAATTATCACCATTATATATATTGAGTACTTTGAAGGCGCTGTGGACTTTAAATTTGCATCATTTTCAAGCATGGTTGTTCTTATATATATAGTGAGCTTCGGTTGAGGAATTCCTTGAATAAGCTTATTTGAGGGACACTCCTTGTAGAGCCTACTTCACATTGTTTTTCACTAATCCAAACCGTCTATTTTGTGGGTATTCATTTAAAGATCACTTGTACAAAAAATCACTTGAAAAATCCGATATCATTTGACTACTCAATTGAATTATTGAAATTTTAGTACTTTCTTGAAGCACCCTGTTCATTGATTTTGTAGGACACAATTGGAAATCGAAACGGTTTCTGATTTGTCTAATTTTTTGCAAGGATGATCTCTGAATGTAGACTTAAAAAATGTATAGTTTGGATCGTTGAAAAAAAATTCGTAGGGGACCCTAAAGGGTGTCCTTTTATTTGAGGGATCCATGAATAAAAGGAGACTGTATACATATATATATGTACATATAGTCAAGAAGATATCTATAATGCTACCAAACTTGAAGAAATTGCATTACCTCTCAATTCACTACATTGAGCCATTAGTGATAAAATTATTAACCTCACTAACCTTGCCATCCTTGACCTCTACTTTAATCATTTTTGTGGCGAGCTTCCTCTCAATCTGGGGAAGCTCTCCAAGTCAAAGTTTGTGACCCTTGATTTCAACAATTTAGAAGGTGTTTTGCCCTCATCTTTGATGAATTGCACAAACCTGGTAGAACTATGTTTGGGATCCAACAACTTGGAAGGAGATATCTCCATGCTTGATTTCTCCAGACTTGGACAACTTACTAAACTTGACCTAGGGATCAATAACTTCACTGGTACAATTTCTGTAAGCCTTTACTCACGTAGGTCCCTAAAAGCCACTGGATTGGCTGGAAATAATATAGAGGGACAAATACAAGCTGAGATTCTTTCATTGAAATCCTTGTCATTTCTCTATTGTTCCTAATGTAATAAAACACAGTTTGTTCTTGTAGTTATTTCTTCTGTTTCCGATGTGATTTCTTCATGATATAGTTTGCAAGCAACATGAATAGGCAGGTCCGTTACACAAGAATGTGGTCATTTAGCACTTTAACATGAATATGGCATCAACTTATGTTTACATTAGGCTTGAGTACTGTTATCAATTTCAACATTCTGCTCTTCACAACTCAATGCGATGTTATTTTTAATTTCTTTTTGGTTGTGATGATATTTCGATGTTTTGCTTGCCCACTCAAATACAATGGGACTCACATTTATTAGAGAGATGAGAATGTGTTCTTCCTAGCACACCCTTAGGGCTGCAACCGAATTTCAGGTGAATTTCCCAAAGAACTTTGTAGACTACCATGGTTGTTTTATGAACCTAATATTGCATCTCATGTAGACCAATATGAATTTGAATTGCATGTCTCGGGCAACATCATAACCGCAAATCAAACTTTTGAACCACATAAATTGTATTTTTATCCAGCAACGATAGACTTGTCTAAAAATAATATTGTTGGTGATATGCCCATTGACATCGGCCACTTGCTCCTCCGCTCGTTGTGTCTTCGCTCCAACAACTTCTCCAACGTCATTTTAGACCAAATTTCTAACCTAAAAAATTTATAGGTTTTGGATCTCTCCACGAATCATTTGTTTGGAAAAATCCCATTGTCATTGGTAATATGCAAAATACACATGGAGATATGTGTATTTTCGATTCATAGATAATTTGTAAAATAGGCTCTATGTGATGATAACAGTCTGCATCAACATGATGAGAAGAAGGCTTAGAGCCTAGATATATATTATTAGGATTGTACTTTTTAATTTTCATTTTCTGTTCGCTTTTTTTTCCCCCCTCTATTGTTCCTGATGTAATAAAGCATAGTTTGTTCTTATAGTTATTTCTTCTGTTTCCGATGCGATTTCTTCATTCTATCGTTTGCAAGCAACATGAATAGGGCATTTAGCACTTGAGATATAATCCCACACCTGAGTAGTTGGTCCCTTCAGGTCCGTTACATAAGAATGTGGTCATTTAGCACTTTAACATGAATAGGGCATCAACTTATGTTTACATTAGGCTTGAGTAGTGTTATCAATTTCAACATTATGCTATTCACAACTCAATGCTATGTTATTTTTAATTTAATTCAATGCTATGTTATTTTTAATTTCTTTTTGGTTGTGACGATATTTCGATCTTTAGCTTGCCCACTCAAATACAATGGGACTCATATTAGAGAGATGACAATGTGTTCTTCCTAGCACTTCATTTGGGGCAAAGACCCTGGAAAGATTGACTATCCTCCAATTTTTCATTGAAAAATCAACTTGGAACTTGGACTATCAGCTGCCTTCAAAATAAAAAAAATTAAATTTCGGTCAATCACTTCTTGAAAGTGAAAGTCTGCAACGCAGGCTCTGACTAATACTATAGACTTTAAAATGACAAGGTCTTCGCTATTTAATGATTATTTGCCAATATTTTTGTTTGCTATTTAATGATGATTTGCCTTCTATCTAACAAAGATATCATTTTCAACTAAATAGATAAACACGGTGCTTTAAGGAAAGACTTAAATAACAAACATCTAATTGAGTAGTCAAACGATTTCAGATTCAAGTGATGTTTTGCACAAATGATCTTTGAGGAAATATCTAAAAATTACATGGTTCGATATAGTTAAAATATATTGCATGTGGTGACCCCTATAAGTATGTCCCTCAATTGAAGCTCATATCTTCCTTCTCATCCCTCAAATATCAATTGAAGCTCTTATCTTCCGTCTCATCCTCTTATTTGAGGGATATATATATACCGGTGATCAATGCAAATACAATGTTGGGTTATGCTTAGCTAGGATGTTTTTAGCTTCCTTGACAACTTTGTAATTGCACATATAATCAATCAAGCTCAAAGTTTTTAGGCTAGACTAAATTAATATATGGCTGATGACTGTGGTTGATATTAAACAATTTGCACAATGCATTCAACATCTTCAAGGTAAATCATACATTACATTCGGACCAAATAAGGGCATTGATGCAGATAACAAGAACAACAAAGACGTAGACAATGGGCTTCATCAACTTCCGTGGTTTTATATTTTTGCTGCATTGGGGTCAGATACATAGGGCAGAGTTCAGTTCTACAAAGAGTACTTAGTAACAACTAATCTGTTTTTCTAACCTCTAATCCGTAACAACCAGTAGCATTGTTCAATATGGAAACCGAGTACAAAAATGTGTATAAAAAGATCAATGCAGCACCAATTAATCTTCTTTATCTTTGTTAGTAAATTATCTATTGTATACATTTTGTTTTTATTTTTGGTTGAAAATATGCATTTTGTTCCATATATAGAATTTTAGCATTATCAGAAAACTCATTTTGACAAATTTGTTTAGAAAAGGAGTGAAAAATTTGAAGAAAACTACCATAGCCGCCTCTTTTGACCTAATAATGTGGTTTATCACAGCCACCTCTTTTGACCATACCTTAGAGGCTAGATATTTATTATTAATATTGTATATTTTCATTTTCATTTTCCGTTTGCTTTTCCTTTCTTTTTTCTTTCTCTATTGTTCCTGATGTAATAAAGCACAGTTTGCTCTTATAGTTATTTCTTATGTTTCAGATGCTTATTTCTTCATGCTACCATTTGCAAAGCAACAAATACAACTTCATGCTTCAATATATTATGCTTTCTATTGGCAAAAAGACTGATTTGGCTGTCCAAAATCATGAATACTAGGGTTTTCACATATAATCCCATTTGATCTACATAATAACAATCTTCCAACGTTTTCAACGTGGTTGCCTTCCTTCCGCTGGCGTTTGGGGGAAAGTGCTTCTATTCGTCGCATGTGCTTTGAAATAAGGAGGCTGTCTTCTTGAATCATTTCCAATAATTTATTCTTGAATGGTCTATCATAGCCCCCTCTTTTGACCTAATAATGTGGTCTACAATGTCGCTACATTAGAGGGGGGTTGGAGAATTTGTATTATTGTATGGTTATGGTTGTTTGCCAATTTCTCAGTCTTAAAAAGTGATGTTTTTCCGCTTTACAGATGCATATTGTTTTCAAGTTAAAAAGAAAGAACAACAGATTACCTTCTAATTTACTATATGATTTTGAGATAAAATCCCACACCTGAGTTGTTGGTCCCTTCAGGTCCGTTACACGAGAATGTGGTCATTTAGCACTTTAACAGGAGTGGGTTAAAAATATCCAAAGCAGCCCCAGTCTGTCCTTCTGTACAAAAGTGGGTTAAAAAATAGGGAGTTTCACTAAAACACCCAAAATAGGAGCTAAAATTATAAAAAAACCCAACATGGAATGCACTTTAGAAATACACCCAAAATCCATTTACTATATAAGAAATTGGTGTTGAAGTTCCTATAAATTACAGGACTGCCACTGAAAAAAAACTCAAAAAACACCCAAAACAGCCCAATCCAATTTTATAAAAAAGCCCAAAACTTTTTTTTTTTTTGGTTACAAAAAGTCCAAAACATTTTATTACAACACAAAACTGTCTCGAAAATAGTAACTTCAAGCACGCATCTTCATTAAACCATCTCAGCAAAACATCTCTTCATTTCACCGTCTTCATCATTTATGCAAACTGAAACTCCATAACAACCACCAAGCTTGATCTACTTTCAAAAACCAACACCACACACTAACCTCCACCTGCAAAACAAAGATAAAATTTCAGAGAACAATTTCAACAAGAAAAGGCTTCAAAGGTAAGACATTTAAAAACCAAACCTTTATTGTAATGTTGATTAATTGATGTAAAGTTTCAGTATATGGTAATAACAGTATTTTATATTTGAATCCAAGACAAAATTTTGAAACTATATTGGATTTTCACTATTGGACTAACTGCATATGACTATAAAATAGTCAGTTTTCAGCAACTCAAAAAAGAAAGAGATATTTAGTCATATACTCATTTTTAACACTGCTAGTTTACTTTCATGATGATTAATGGCTGTAAAGTTCCAGTATAGGGTAATAACACTGATTGTTTCCTCTAAAACCCTATTTTGAATGCATATCTACCACCGTAAAGTTCCAGTATAGAGTAATAACACTGCTTGTTTTCAATGAAATCCTATTTTGAATGCATGTCTACTACTATAAAGTTCCAGTACAGAGTAATAACACTTCTTTTTTCTTATGAAATTCTATTTCTAATGCATTTAACCATTGTAAAGTTCCAATATAGGGTAATAACACTACTAGATTCTTCTGAAATCCTATTTCTAATGCATGTCTACCCCTTGTAAAGTTCCATTATAGGGTAATAACACTGCTAGATTCCTCTGAAATCCTATTTCTAATGCATGTCTAACCATTGTAAAGTTTCAATATAGGGTAATAACACTGCTAGATTTCTCTGAAATCCTATTTCTAATGTATGTATACCCTTTGTAAAGTTTCAATATAGGGTAATAACACTGCTAGATTCCTCTGAAATCCTATTTCTAATGCATGTTTACCCATTGTAAAGTTCCAGTATAGGATAATAACACTGCTAGTTTCATATAAAATCCTATTTCTAATGCATGTCTACCACTGTAAAGTTCCAGTATAAGGTAATAACACTGCTTATTTCCTACGAAATCCTATTTCTAATGCATGTCTATAAAGTTCCAATATAAGATAATAACACTGCTATCTAACAACAAATTATAGTTGACTCAAAAACCAATAGTGCATAAACAGAAAAAACACGAATATACTCATATTCAAAATTAATATGATAACATAATCAAATATCACAAATCTGTAACACAGCTCAAACCAAAACACAAAAAGCAAATCCACAACCAAACTAAATTTTAAATCAATCCAAATTATAAACAAAAAAAATAAAATCACAATTTAAAACTCAAACGAATATCTAATACAAATTAGAACGAAATTAGAAAATCCAATAGCTTATCTCCAAATCGACAATAACAAAAATAAACATATAAAATCAAGAAGAATTGGATCTACATTTCAAATTTAAACTCCAAAACTGCAAAAATTATGAAAACTTAACCAGCAACTTAATTAATCGAACATGAAATCACCCAAATCATACTACAATAAAATCAAAAAAGTCCTTACAATACCTATACCAACATATTCAGACTAACAAGGGGAAATTTTTGGTCTTGGACCCCGGCCAAAAAGTGGCCGGAGTAATCCGGAACACTGCCAAAACCGTCGGTCAAACTAGGGTGTATTGATTAATTTCCAAAACTCCAAAATCTATCCTAACCACATACATAAACAGCTTGAGCACGAAAATTAGATAAAGTTTCATACCTCGATCGACGGAAACAACAGCCGGAGTCACCGGAAACGACGTCGGAAAACTTGAAATCCACAAACCTTTTTGAGCTCGCAGCGGCGTCATCAATGGCTAATGTGGCTGGGCTTTAGCCCAGACTTGATCGTCGGCCTTGACCGATCCTTTTCCGATCGCTGTCATGCTGGCCGTGGACGGAGCACCAAGATCGTTGGCCTAGGCTTGGTTTCTGCGAAGGGAAAGAGACGAGAGAGAGAGAGAGAGAGAGAGAGAGAGAGAGAGAGAGAGAGAGAGAGAAAAACTAATTTAATACTAAATGGGTAATAAAGGTATTTCATTTAAGTAATTAAACTAAAAAATGTAACAGCTGTCAGTTTTGGGTATATTTGGGTGTGTTTATATGTTTTAAATAGTATAGGGTATATTTATAGTTTCATGTCTAGAATTGGGTATTTCACTAATTTTGTATAAAAAATATCCAAAGTTTTATTTAATAAGGTTTATTTTTTAGGTTTGTACGGGTTTTAAATTTGAGGGCATTTGTGTCTATTTAAGTAAGTTTTTTGCTATATTTGAAATATTTTACAAAAACTGACATTTTTGAAATTAAGGATCAAGTTTTGGCTATTTTTGATAAATTCTCTTTAGGGCTAAACTACTTCGGAGTCAATGCAGACTTTAAACAAGGTCTTCGCTTTGGTTTCCTTCGTGGAAATTTCTCTTTGACTTACAGAGGGGTTTGGATAATTTGTGTTGTGTGGTTATGGCAGCTTATAAACCTGTCATTTTGTGCGACAGTGGGGGCCCTAGAGACAGTACTAAGAACGGTGAAACATGATTTCTTTGTGATTGTAACCCAAGAGAGTTCTCCCTTGGCTATGGCTAAACTTATCCAAGACCGGCAGATTGCGCAATCCTGCCAAGACAAAGCTTACTGAAACGGCACTGCACACAACCAGATCAACTAGCTTGTTTCCACATATCCCTTACCTGCATATTCACATTGAGGGCCACACTATATAACTGGCGGTTAACAAGTTTCAATTTCACTCATAAACATAAACACAAAAACATCTAGCAGTCTTCAATATTATATGAGCAATATGGCACTCCCAAAGCTTAAGCTCATCTTCACCCTTTTCTTCCTTCAAACCCTCCTCACATCCCCTACATCAATCCAAGCAGCCCCAGCAAACTCAGATCTCTTCAGAGAATACATAGGAGCTCAATTCAAGAATGTCAAGTTTTCTGATGTCCCCATTAACCCAAATGTTGAATTCCACTTCATTCTCTCATTTGCCATAGACTATGACACCTCCTCCTCTCCCACCAATGGAAAATTCAATGTCTTCTGGGACTCTGATAATCTTAGCCCTTCCCAAGTTTCCTCCATCAAAAATCAGCATTCAAATGTCAAAGTGGCCTTTAGCCTAGGAGGAGACACTGTGAATGGTGTCCCTGCTGAATTCAAGCCTTCCTCAATTGACTCATGGGTTTCCAATGCTGTTTCTTCTCTCACAGGCATCATCCAGCAGTACAATTTGGATGGAATTGACATTGATTACGAGCACTTCAGCGCAGACCCTGCTACCTTCTCCGAGTGCATTGGGAAGCTTATAACAACCCTCAAGAACAATGGAGTGATATCATTTGCTTCCATTGCTCCCTTTGATAATGACCAAGTTCAGAGCCACTACTTGGCCTTGTGGAAGAGCTATGGCCACTTGATAGACTATGTGAATTTCCAGTTTTACGCATACGATCAGGGAACCACAGTGTCTCAGTTCATCAATTACTTCAAGACACAAAGCTCCAATTACAATGGTGGGAAGGTCTTGGCAAGCTTTATCAGTGATGGGAGTCGTGGACTGTCCCCTGAGAATGGTTTTTTCACTGCCTGTGACACGCTCAAGAGTGAGCAACAACTTCATGGTATATTTGTTTGGTCTGCAGATGATTCCAAGGCAATTGGTTTCCGCTATGAAGAGCAATCACAAAATTTCTTAGCAACCCCCCACTAGTACTATATTATCTTATATGTTTAGCTTCTATATGAATATCATTAAGAAGTAGGCTCTGGAATTGGATTCCGGGGTATTGTAATGCTTGTTGTACTTCTATTTACCTGGAGTTATATACATATTTCAGATTGTGTTGTTTGAGTATGTAAGATCGCTATATTCTATAAAATTTGCTGATTTTCACAGATGGTTGTTTACATGCTAGCTACTCTAGCATTGGCCTCTACATAATCCAACTTTCTTCTTTCATATATACTTACACCAAGAACAGAGTTCTCAATGCTCACTTTCCTTCTACCTCCTTTTTTATTTATTCAACAACTTGCTGGAATTTGGCTTTGCCAAAATGATGCCAAGAAGGTGGAATTCGGACGATGCTTGAACTGAGACTGAAGACTGCATGACCTTGCAGCATAAGTTGTTCAATTGAATCAACTCAGAGACTGATACATTATTTTAATTTTATGTTCTGCTATTTATGTAGAAAGGGCTTCTTTATGAATGACTGATGCATGTCTGATATACGTGATATTTTTAATGTAACTGCCTTCATATGTGGGGCAAACAACTTGGAAAGAATGACCATCCTTCAATTTTCTTAGAAAAATCATCAACAAGAAAACAACTTGGAACTTGAACTTTGAGTGATTGACATGGAAGATGCGGTCGTATCACATATCATCTGCCTTAAAAATAAAAAATAAAATTTCAGTATAAGAAGATCTTCGCCTGAGGACGAAACTACTTTGGAGTCAATGCAGACTTTAAAATCTACAAGGTCTTCGCTTTGGTTTCATTTGTGGAAATCTCTCTTCGACGTACAGAGGGGTTTGGAAAATTTGTGTTGTGTGGTTATGGCATCTTATAAACCTGTCATTTTCTGCAATAGTGGGGGCCCTACAGACAGTTAAGAACGGTGAAACATAATTTCTTTGTGATTGTAACCCAAGAGAGTTCTCCCTTGGCTATGGCTAAACTTATCCAAGACCCGCAGATTGCGCAAAGAATGGGATGCTCTAGTGTCTCATCCAGCATGATTGCTCATATATATATATATATATATATATATATATAGAGAGAGAGAGAGAGAGAGAGAGAGAGAGAGAGAGAGAGAGAGAGCTTCGGTTGAGGGATTTCTCAAATAAGCTTATTTGAGGGACACCCTTGTAGATCCCACGCTGCATCTTGAAAATGCTTGACAGGAAGCTTATTGGGGCCCTGACAATGTTAAATCTACGCGTTTCTATAGGATCTAGATATTAATTTATAGGAAGCTACTTCCCTCCATCCCTAGAAGGAGGCAATCCTACTTTTTACAAATCATTGTTTGACACTTATGCAAAAATAATTCATCAAAAACACAAAACATCCCTACAAACATATCAAACTGTGATTGATAGGAAAGTATGAGTTTATACTTCCAAGGGAATGAGACAAGTATTTTCCTTATTTGAAGATGGATTGACAGAGGAAACCTTGTTCGTTTTAACATTCTCAGACAAAGGGTAGTGATAAAAGGGACACAGATTCCTCTGTCAATCCATCTTCAAAATGCTTGACAGGAAGCTTGTAAAACGTAGGAACGTTTGTATAAGAACTCGTTCACTTGCCTTTGCGGCGTTTTGTCTCATTGATGCAGCCAGCCACCAGGCAAAACTGTAAACATTCTGATGCCCAGCCTCGCACATGCTCTGGTCAATTGTTTGTTTTCCAAACATGGAAATCGTCTGACCTCGATTTATCTCTTGCACGTGGCAAAGTCAAAGTCATTATTTGCACACCCGCTGTTGTATTCATATACATGGTTAGAGGTTTTCCAGAGAACTTGCTGAGGGTTGACCCCAATCTCTGGTTTGAAGAGATGTTCCCTGTGCTGATCTAAAAGCCATGAAAAGTTCTTTAAAATAGTTTGAAATGTCAAATCTTAAATCCTGACCACATATTCAGATATGATTCTGCCCAATCAATAACCTTTATTGATATAGTTCGACAAAAGAATGTATCAAGGCAAAAACAAACATGAAAGCTTCAGCTCCAAAAGTCCCTCAAGGCTTTCAAATGAAACACTGCATCCAGCTATCTAGCTGCAACAGAGAACTATATGTACCCAACAGACTGTCAGACTCAAACAATCACTATTGACAGAACTATCTCAAAGCAGTTGTAGACATCCCCTTAATTTTTGCAAACTCCGTTATCACGAAACTCATTTTGACAGATTTATTTAGAAACTGAGTGAAAACTTTGAAGAAAACTAGCATTACATATCACCTGCATTAAGTGAAGGTTGCAGAACTCAGTGAAGTGATTGCCTCATGGTTTTGGCTACATTATGTGAAGTTAGAAGTTAGAACCTCCAATTGATTATGCATAAGCATCCGAGGATAGTTGAAAGGGAGCATGCTGCAAAATCCAAGACATAAAAGTAGTAAACTACCGAACTCTCACTGCCCTACAAATCACTTACATGTTGCCCCTTGTCATGCTGGCACTAAGTTCCAATTTCATTAATAACTTAAAAACATGCTTGTTTATATACTTGAAGATGGTTTAACGTAGCATCTACACAAATACAAGGTCCACTAACATATAATTGTAATCTTCAACAGTAAGTTGTTCTGATAACCAACAAATAAAATAGTGCAATGCATGACTATCCAAAGTGAATAAATAGAAGCATGCATGCTATGGGGAACCCCAAGCCACCTTATGCCAAAGCATCTTAGATAAAGACTGCCTGAACTCTTACCTAGCATTACACAAACATTCGCCTCGATTTGGAGCTTCAATAGACATGCATATTCTAAGATGAGAAAGCTCTTCGGTACTCACAATAGCACCCACCACAACCCCCCCCCAACTGCGCTCACACACACACACCAATAATCTCGCTATTTGAGTCATCCTCAAGAATGGTGTATATTGCCGGAATCAAACTATAAACTAGAGAGAAAATGTCACAAAACAAGCACAAATGTATACAAAATCGAAATGTTGACAATCCCCATTACCATTCAAATTTGTACACTAAATACTCAGATTAGCAATTTGATCAAACTCAAAATGAAGCCGAAGAAATTGCACACATAGGTATTTCGTATATTCAAACAGATTGAAAGACATGAATTCTTGCACCATTTTCCACATACTTTAACAACCAAACTAAACTACCAAAGCTCAGTCTAACACGAGTTCAGCTGGAGCAGCACATACAAACTCAAAATGAAGCCAAAGATCAAGCTCACTCATCAAATTCCACGATAAAAATTGAAAATTTGCCTTAAAACAACAGCAAGATTTTCAAATAAAAAACCTGGAGATCACTCAAGGGCATTTGCGGCATTTTCAGGGAGTTGTTGCTGCTGCTGCTGCTGCTGTTGTTGTAAAATGGACTTGCGCTGAATCTCACGCCATTTGTTGATTCCAACAGTGCAAATAACTGCCCAGAATTTAAAATCAGCCAACCATTTAAAAAGGGAGAAGAAGAAGAAGAAGACTTAAAATTGAAATGAAAATTCATGACTTACAGCCAGCGCCGACAAAATAAAGCAGACGAAGGAGCTTTGGTGCTGGGGGCCCCGCTAATTCTTCTCCACTCATTGCTCCTCTTCTTCCTGTTACAGACTCTTCTGTGTGAGAAGTTGAGAACTGAGAAAGACTACGACGACCCGTTTTAGTCCAGAAACTGAAATGGGTCGGATCATATCGAACTCGGGTGTTTATTTCTGCATGTCCGGCCTGTGCCTCGGAGGCCCGAACACAATTATATTACAAATGTTGGGCCAGACCCGAACCAGTTTTGGCCCAAGATAGCAGAGAAAACTTATCTTTTGAGACTTTGAATTTGAATTTGCAGAGAATTGAAGGAGACTTTGATTCCATATCTTGGCTTTAACATATTGATCCAATGTGCATCTTTTTAGTGTTTTTTGCTTTGATTTCTCACTGATTATTTTTGGGAAGTTGAAATTTGTGACCCTTGATTTCTTGATGGGTTATCCATGAAAGTTAATAGAAAATATTTTTATAACATGAATAGGGCATCAACATATGTTTACATCTGGACTCTTATCAATTTCAACATTTTGCTCTTACAACTCAATGCTATGTTATTTTTTTATGGAGTTAATGAATACAGGCAAAGTGAAACGGAGAATTGAGTTTCAGGGAGTAAAGTATGACAAATTGAGTTTCAAGTGGCAAAATGAGATTCAAATTTAGTTTCAGAGGACATATAAATAATTATGCCTTTTAATTTTATGTTATGCTACTTGTGTAACATGAATAGGACGTCAATGTAATGTTGGATCAGGCTTGACTGTCATTGTCACTCTCAGGCCATATATCTTCCCAATTATGTGAAAAATTATCACCATTATATATATTGAGTACTTTGAAGGCGCTATGGACTTTAAATTTGCATCATTTTCAAGCATGGTTGTTCTTATATATATAGTGAGCTTCGGTTGAGGAATTCCTTCAATAAGCTTATTTGAGGGACACTCCTTGTAGAGCCTACTTCACATTGTTTTTCACTAATCCAAACCGTCTATTTTGTGGGTATTCATTTAAAGATCACTTGTACAAAAAATCACTTGAAAAATCCGATATCATTTGACTACTCAATTGAATTATTGAAATTTTAGTACTTTCTTGAAGCATCGTGTTCATTGATTTTGTAGGACACAATTGGAAATCGAAACGGTTTCTGATTTGTCTAATTTTTTACAAGGATGATCTCTGAATGTAGACTTAAAAAATGTATAGTTTGGATCGTTGAAAAAAAATTCGTAGGGGACCCTAAAGGGTGTCCTTTTATTTGAGGGATCCCTCAATAAAAGGAGATTGTATACATATATATATATGTACATATAGTCAAGAAGATATCTATAATGCTACCAAACTTGAAGAAATTGCATTACCTCTCAATTCACTACATTGAGCCATTAGTGATAAAATTATTAACCTCACTAACCTTGCCATCCTTGACCTCTACTTTAATCATTTTTGTGGCGAGCTTCCTCTCAATCTGGGGAAGCTCTCCAAGTCAAAGTTTGTGACCCTTGATTTCAACAATTTAGAAGGTGTTTTGCCCTCATCTTTGATGAATTGCACAAACCTGGTAGAACTATGTTTGGGATCCAACAACTTGGAAGGAGATATCTCCATGCTTGATTTCTCCAGACTTGGACAACTTACTAAACTTGACCTAAGGATCAATAACTTCACTGGTACAATTTCTGTAAGCCTTTACTCACGTAGGTCCCTAAAAGCCACTGGATTGGCTGTAAATAATATAGAGGGACAAATACAAGCTGAGATTCTTTCATTGAAATCCTTGTCCTTTCTCTATTGTTCCTAATGTAATAAAACACAGTTTGTTCTTGTAGTTATTTGTTCTGTTTCCGATGTGATTTCTTCATGATATAGTTTGCAAGCAACATGAATAGGCAGGTCCGTTACACAAGAATGTGGTCATTTAGCACTTTAACATGAATATGGCATCAACTTATGTTTACATTAGGCTTGAGTACTGTTATCAATTTCAACATTCTGCTCTTCACAACTCAATGCGATGTTATTTTTAATTTCTTTTTGGTTGTGATGATATTTCGATGTTTTGCTTGCCCACTCAAATACAATGGGACTCACATTTATTAGAGAGATGAGAATGTGTTCTTCCTAGCACATCCTTAGGGCCGCAACCGAATTTCATGTGAATTTCCCAAACAACTTTGTAGACTACCAAGGTTGTTTTATGAACCTAATATTGCATCTCATGTAGACCAATATGAATTTGAATTGCATGTCTCGGGCAACATCATAACCGCAAATCAAACTTTTGAACCACATAAATTGTATTTTTATCCAGCAACGATAGACTTGTCTAAAAATAATATTGTTGGTGATATGCCCATTGACATCGGCCACTTGCTCCTCCGCTCGTTGTGTCTTCGCTCCAACAACTTCTCCAACTTCATTTTAGACCAAATTTCTAACCTAAAAAATTTAGAGGTTTTGGATCTCTCCACGAATCATTTGTTTGGAAAAATCCCATTGTCATTGGTAATATGCAAAATAGATAATATGCAAATACACATGGAGATATGTGTATTTTCGATTCATAGATAATTTGTAAAATAGGCTCTATGTGATGATAACAGTCTGCATCAACATGATGAGAAGAAGGCTTAGAGCCTAGATATATATTATTGGATTGTACTTTTTAATTTTCATTTTCTGTTCGCTTTTTTTCCCCCCCTCTATTGTTCCTGATGTAATAAAGCATAGTTTGTTCTTATAGTTATTTCTTCTGTTTCCGATGCGATTTCTTCATTCTATCGTTTGCAAGCAACATGAATAGGGCATTTAGCACTTGAGATATAATCCCACACCTGAGTAGTTGGTCCCTTCAGGTCCGTTACATAAGAATGTGGTCATTTAGCACTTTAACATGAATAGGGCATCAACTTATGTTTACATTAGGCTTGAGTAGTGTTATCAATTTCAACATTATGCTATTCACAACTCAATGCTATGTTATTTTTAATTTAATTCAATGCTATGTTATTTTTAATTTCTTTTTGGTTGTGACGATATTTCGATCTTTAGCTTGCCCACTCAAATACAATGGGACTCATATTAGAGAGATGACAATGTGTTCTTCCTAGCACTTCATTTGGGGCAAAGACCCTGGAAAGATTGACTATCCTCCAATTTTTCATTGAAAAATCAACTCGGAACTTGGACTATCAGCTGCCTTCAAAATAAAAAAATTAAATTTCGGTCAATCACTTCTTGAAAGTGAAAGTCTGCAACGCAGGCTTTGACTAATACTATAGACTTTAAAATGACAAGGTCTTCGTTATTTAATGATTATTTGCCAATATTTCTGTTTGCTATTTAATGATGATTTGCCTTCGATCTAACAAAGATATCATTTTCAACTAAATAGATAAACACGGTGCTTTAAGAAAAAACTTAAATAACAAACATCTAATTGAGTAATCAAACGATTTCAGATTCAAGTGATGTTTTGCACAAATGATCTTTGAGGAAATATCTAAAAATTACATGGTTCGATATAGTTAAAATATATTGCATGTGGTGACCCCTATAAGTATGTCCCTCAATTGAAGCTCATATCTTCCTTCTCATCCCTCAAATATCAATTGAAGCTCTTATCTTCCGTCTCATCCTCTTATTTGAGGGATATATATACCGATGATCAATGCAAATACAATGTTGGGTTATGCTTAGCTAGGATGTTTTTAGCTTCCTTGACAACTTTGTAATTGCACATATAATCAATCAAGCTCAAAGTTTTTAGGCTAGACTAAATTAATATATGGCTGATGACTGTGGTTGAGATTAAACAATTTGCACAATGCATTCAACATCTTCAAGGTAAATCATACATTACATTCGGACCAAATAAGGGCATTGATGCAGATAACAAGAACAACAAAGACGTAGACAATGGGCTTCATCAACTTCCGTGGTTTTATATTTTGCTGCATTGGGGTCAGATACATAGGGCAGAGTTCAGTTCTACAAAGAGTACTTAGTAACAACTAATCTGTTTTTTCTAACCTCTAATCCGTAACAACCAGTAGCATTGTTCAATATGGAAACCGAGTACAAAAGTGTGTATAAAAAGATCAATGCAGTACCAATTAATCTTCTTTATCTTTGTTAGTAAATTATCTATTGTATACATCTGTTTTTATTTTTATTTTTATTTTTGGTTGAAAATATGCATTTTGTTCCATATATAGAATTTTAGCATTATAGAAAACTCATTTTGACAGATTTGTTTAGAAAAGGAGTGAAAAATTTGAAGAAAACTACCATAGCCGCCTCTTTTGACCTAATAATGTGGTTTATCACAGCCACCTCTTTTGACCACACCTTAGAGGCTAGATAATTATTATTAATATTGTATATTTTATTTTCATTTTCCGTTTGCTTTTCCTTTCTTTTTTCTTTCTCTATTGTTCCTGATGTAATAAAGCACAGTTTGCTCTTTTAGTTATTTCTTATGTTTCAGATGCTTATTTCTTCATGCTACCATTTGCAAAGCAACAAATACAACTTCATGCATCAGTATATTATGCTTTCTATTGGCAAAAAGACTGATTACATAACTGCAACTAACTAACTTAAAAGAAGCCCAATACAAAAAACACAAACAAACCCAAAACAAGCCCATCCCAAATTTTTTAAAAAACCCAACTTAAGTATAAAAAAAAACAAAAAACAAAAACCAAGGGCATGTCCCCACAACCTTTCATTCTCTATCGAACCTTTGCAAACCATGTCATAGAAGTACATTGTTAATACCGTGTCATAGAAATACATTGTTAATACCATTTCATACAAAAAAAACATTGTTAATACCATTTCATACAAAAAGAAATTGTTAATACCATTTCATACAAAAAGAATTGTTAATACCATTTCATACAAAAAAAATATTGTTAATACCATTTCATACAAAAAGACATTGTTAATACCATTTCATACAAAAAACCATTGTTAATACAATTATATACAAAAAACCATTGTTAATACAATTATATACAAAAAACCATTGTAATACCATTTCACATAATAAATCCAAAAAAGCCCAGCAAGACATCTGATTGCAGAAACCACCTCTAATTGTCTACAGTTTCATCAGATACAATTGCAAATGCAAAAGGAAATACCTGTACAAGAAAAAAAAGTACACTATTAATACCATGCCATAGAACTATCATCCTAGTAAAAATCACATTCTGCATATCATAAACTTCAAGTGCACAGCTATATATAGAGCAAAATATAGAGCACGCTTTGTTACTAAAATCTGTTAATACTATATCATAAAAGTACACTGTTAATACTATGTCATAGAAATCAACTCAGTTGCAGAGTATGAACAGTTGTTATACTATTCATACCACTTACTAGAAGTTAACAACTGCATCATTTCATTTGCATAATCGGTACGATAAAAGTGTACAACTCCATACCACTCAAAATCAATTACATCAATTCATTTGCATAATTAATTGATCATTCATCACTCCACATACCATAAACATTGAATCGAAGCGGCTCCCACACATACTGCTCATCATCATTGTGCTTGGTGGTAACAATGACCTTATCTCCAAACATATGAGCCTTTAGAAAACTGTTGTGACATATGTACCCAAATGAAATGGTCATATGATTGTACAACATTATCATAAGTTAATGAACTGTAAATGTTTGTGATCTACACGATTATATGCTGTTTGTTCATAACTCATCGAGTGAATAAATGCAAGAAAATTGTATGATTTGCTCAAATGAGGTATATAGATCCACAGCCAAGCTTGGCTTCAACATTAGATAGAAGAAGCTTCAGAAGGGCCACATGAATTTTTCCAAGTAGCAAGGAATTCTAAAAGGCATTTTACGAAACAAAGATGTTGAGCAACTAAAACACACAATAAATCCGATGTTGGATCAAAGATAAGATATAACCTTGTCCTGAAATACTTGGGCAAACTCATGAAGGAGCTTATATCTACCGTAACGGCATAAGTATAAAGGAAATGGAAAACCTGCCCAAGAAAGTGAACCCAGAATATATTTGAGTACGATAACTAAACAAAATGTAGCAATCTAAATTGATGACCCCAGACACATTTGTTAATAAACCCAACCAAAAAAAAAAAACTGCAGCAATCTAGAGTGGTGCTTTAACACTGCACATCTTTTCACTCACCAATTTCCATAAGGAATCTTAAAGTTGACAAGATAATAATAAATTCCTACACTTAGTATGAACTACACAAAAGAGAGTTACAACTTACAAGTAGATTCCAATATCAAATTTAGACCACATTCCATATATCTCTAGTACTTGATATATCTTTTTCTTGAGTATATCATAGTTTGCATAACATCTCTGCAAGAACTACCTATGACTTCAATCTATGCAATGAGAGCGTAGACCAAAAAGATTGGTAAGAGTAATGAGAGACCATTAGGCAATATTAGCGAGGATAAAATAATTATTCCAAGCTTTTATAGGTCGTATAATCATAAATAAGAAACATACCTCATAGTATGAAAATCCAAATGCAATAATAGATAGAGTGTATGACATCTTTCACGAACGATGTCCTATATTAGCAAAAGAACTTAACAAAATCAAGCCACCAACAGTTTGCAATTCACATACCTTGAAGAGTTTCTTGACAATCTCTGGAGAAGAATCCTACGGTTGCATACAGAATGGCTGCTTCATCTTCACAGAATTTGGAGGAAACTTGGCCAGCAAATCTGAAATCCCAAAAATTCCTTATCCACAGCTCAAGATACTATACATGCAGACACATACATATTACAGCATTTCATTTTAGCTTCCACAAGACTGGGCCTTGTTGACGGTGATGTTACGACCGTTGAGGTTCTGGTAGTTCATGCCTTCGATCGCATCCCTCATGGCTTTCTCGTTGCTGAAGGTGACGAAGCCGAAGCCGAAGCCGAAGCCGAAGCCCCTGGACCTCTCGGTCTCACGGTCGTTAATGATCTGGAAACACAAAAAGAAACAAAATCAAATCAGATCCATCCATCAAAACAAAAACTCCGGAGTATATAATCCAACAAATACACAATAATAAACAAAAATGAAAAGGAATTAGTCGATCTTCAATCTTTGGGAAAGAAAGATAAAGTAACATAGAGAAATAGAAGATCAAGTAACATAGAGAAATAGAAGATCCAGTAGTAGAGGTCAAACGGCCCTTCGATTCGATGATCTCACCGAACGGAGAAAAGGCCCTATCCAGCGCATCATGTTGGTGGCCTAGGCGTGCCCTCCGATGAAGCTTAGAATGATGAGATTGAACAAAAACTGAGGTGGAAAAACAAAAACTGAGGTAGAATAACAAAAACTGAAAATTGGGGTTGAAGATGAAAATGAGAGACTAGAGGTCGTGAATCTGATCTGGTGTGATTAGAATTCCAATTTTATGTTAAAATGGTAATAAAGTTATTTCATCTTAATAATTAAATTAAAAAATACACAGTTGTCGATTTTTGGGTGTGTTTATATACATTAAATAGTATAGGGTATTTTTATAGTTTATGTCTAGGATGTGTATTTAACTAATTTTCTATAGATAATATGCAAAATACCCATGGAGATATGTGTATTTTCGATTCATAGATAATCTGCGAAATAGGCTCTATGTGATGATAACAATCCGCATCAACATGATGAGAGAAGGCTTAGAGGCTAGATATATATTATTAATATTGTACTTTTTAATTTTCATTTTCTGTTTGGTTTTTTTTTGGGAGTTTCACTAAAACACCCAAAATGGAGGTTGAAATTATAAAAAAACCCAACACCCAAAACAATTTATAAACACACCCAAAAACCCATCATTACACACACTCAAAACCCATTTATAAACACACCCAAAAAGTTGACTTTGGGGTTGATTTGGGTGTGTTTCTATGTTTAAATAGTGCTTGGGTTTTTTTATAATACATGTCTAGGATTGGGTTTATTTATAAATTTGTATTTTTTTTCCCTCTATGTTCCTGATGTAATAAAGCACAGTTTGTTCTCATAGTTATTTCTTCTATTTCCGATGCGATTTCTTCATTCTATCTTTTGCAAGCAACATGAATAGGGCATTTAGCACTTGAGATATAATCCCACACCTGAGTAGTTGGTCCCTTCAGATCCGTTACACAAGAATGTGGTCATTTAGCATTTAACATGAATAGGGCATCAACTATGTTTACATTAGGCTTGAGTACTGTTATCAATTTCAACATTTTGCTCTTCACAACTCAATGCTATGTTATTTTTAATTTAATTCAATGCTATGTTATTTTTAATTTCTTTTTGGTTGTGATGATATTTCAATGTTTAGCTTGCCCACTCAAATACAATGGGACTCATATTTATTAGAGAGATGACAATGTGTTCTTCCTAGCACTTCATTTGGGGCAAAGACCCTGGAAAGATTCACTATCCTCCAATTTTTCATTGAAAAATCACCTTGGAAGTGAAAGTCTGCAACGCAGGCTCTGACTAGTAAATACTAGACTTTAAGAGGGGCAAAGACCCTGGAAAGATTGACTATCCTCCAATTTTTCATTGAAAATCAACTTGGAAGTGAAAGTCTGCAATGCATGCTCTGACTAGTAAATACTATAGACTTTAAGAGGGGCAAAAACCCTGGAAAGATTGACTATCCTCCAATTTTTCATTGAAAAATCAACTTGGAAGTGAAAGTCTTAAGAGGGGCAAAGACCCTGGAAAGATTGACTATCCCCAATTTTTCATTGAAAAATCAACTTGGAAGTGAAAGTCTGCAACGCAGGCTCTGACTAATAAATACTATAGACTTTAAAATAACAAGGTCTTCGCTATTTAATGATGACCAATTTGTTTTGGCTTCTCAAGTCAAACAAGTATTTTTTGTTGACGACCCGATGTATCGTGGTTGGTCGGTAGTGTTATCAATGCCTAATAGAGAATATATGATGTTATTGGTGATGATGTCTTAGGTGATGTGAGAATTGAGTGTGAGCCATTTACTAGGGGATGCCAAATGTTGACACATTTGATGAAGTGGTGGTTGAGTTAGGGAGTCAAAATATTCGAGATGGGTGTGAAGATATATGGGTTGAATGATGCTTTATGTAATTGGCAGTGTATGACATTAATTTTGTAATATATTGTAATGTGATTTCTTCACTTTCATTATACAGGTTTTGGCCACAAAACAATCAGTACAAAAATTACTGGTTCCAGATTACAAACACGACGGTTTTGATAAAAATGTGAAAAACAAACGTCTGTTCTAATAAATAACGACGTTTTGGAGCATTCAACGACCGCAATATATTTACCGACGTCTTAAAGCAAAGTAACAATGAAGAACCACGACGCTATTGTGAAACAGTTATCCAGGATAACACGTCGGACAAGCATAAAGAACCGCCATGTAATTCAAAATAACACGACTCCAATCCCCATAATACCGACGTCTAAAAGACGAGAACTTTAACCTGAACGTTACAAAAGACGACGTCGTCATGAATTTACCACGTCGCATGTTCTTTCATAAACGAAGTGGAAAAGGATGAATTCACGACGGTATTTGAAGTCCATTAAATTTGTCGACGTTAAGATTTATGAATTAGACGACGTTAATTTTTTAATGAAGACGTATAAATTATTAAACACGACGGTCTTTTTCATGGTAACGACGTTGTATATAGACGACAACGTCGTCCTTATAAATTACTGTGTCGTAATTAATGACCCCATCATTTTTCCACGTCGTTTATTTTCAAAATATGACGTATAAATTCTGTAATACGGCTCTCATTTATTTGGAACCGACGTTGTTTATTCATTTCAACGTCGTCTCTGTAAATACATACGTCGTAAGTAATGAACCTGACATCTATTTCCACGTCATAATTCATAGAAAATCGAAGTGGAAAATTTATTTTACGACGGTATTTGAAGTCCATTAAACTTGTCGACGTTAAGATATATGAATTAGACGACGTCAATTTTTTAAATGAAGACGTATAATTATTAAAGACGACGGTCTTTTTAATGGTAACGACGCGTGTATATAGACTACAACGTCGTCATTATAAATTACTGTGTCGATTTACCCACTAGCATATTGAATTCCCAGCAGAGAAGCAGCGCAGCACACACAGACCATGATTTCTAAAGTTTCTTTGCATTTGAATTTGCAATGCGAAATGCATTAGTGAAGAAGAGTTTGTGCAACAGAAGTATTTTTTCGTCGCGGCAAATAGCGTACGCAACAACTTTCCGTGTTATCAAATAACATTTTTCGTACGCTCAAAGACCTGTCAAAATCGGAATTTTGCGCGACGAATGAGTACACTTCGTCGCGCAAAAAACAACTTTTCGTTGCATAAAAAAACATTTTTCTCACGCAAAGGCTGTCAACAGCAGAATTTTGCCGATGAAAGAATATACTCGTCGCTTAAATATTCGTGCGCAAAATTAAACGGCGGCGCAAACGCAATTCCGTCGCCGAGAACTTGCGACATCGCACTGCGCGACCGAACAAATTTACGTAGCGCAGATGTTTCCCGCCAAAAAAAGTCCGTTATCGCAAGGTTCTTTGTCCACTTTTGCGAGACGAAAAATGGTGACCATCGCGGCATGGGAATTTGCGCGACGAAAATATTGGGGCGCAAAGGTTGGCGCCAAAAAAATATTCTTGGGTTTTCTCCCCACTTGAGCGACAAAATTTTGCGTTGCGCAAAAGTTGTTGTTTCGCGACGAATCTGTTGTCGTCGCATCAGTGCTTCTTGCGCGATGATTTGTCTTTGTCGACAAACGTTCGTCGCGCAATAGAAAATGTAGTAGTGCATTAATGGCAATTACCCTAAACTAGACACATAAATAGTAAAAGCCGGAATGGCCCTAATTCGTCCTTCTGCCTTCTCTTTCGCCTCCTTGAAAAATACCAGACCTAGCGTGCTTGCACACTGTATATGGTCCAGGCAAAACATGGAATATCGAACAATGAGAAACAACGTATCCCAGGAAGGCTTTACACTTTATCATAAATATTTTAAGTAGGTCCCAACATGGTTGTGACTTTATCCTCAAAAAAAACAATAGTAGGAGAAGCGTAAGAGGAATTGGGGGGGTGTTTGTTGTGTCTCGAACCATCTGGCGTTTTTGCGTAATATACCAGCCAACAACTAATTGCCCACAACGATAGAATTCCACCAGTATAGGGTAGGGCAAGTTTACGGACATCATGTTAGTACCCCACCCAAACGTTATGGCATATGCAGAACAAGGCACGGACAAGCAGGACGCCGGGCTTCTGGGGTTCCTGCGCCTGGGAACCATTGTACTTGGTTTTCCGCTGAGGGGGTTCCTTTCCACCGAGTCGTCCAGATCCACCACGAGGTGCGTGGTCTCTGCCTCCCGATAGCCCTGCGGCGTCAGGTAGATCGGCTTGCTCCGGGCCTCGGCCTTCCCCGCTCCTGGACACGGACAGAACGTAGCCCGCTGTGGGGTGTGGGGCGCCGCGGTAGCTCCGGCAACGGAAGGTCCCGGGAGCGCCCCAGACACTAATTTGTACACTGTTTGTGCGATGCGTTCCTTTTTGTTTTTTTTTTTTTTTTTTTTTTTTTTTTTTTTTTTTTTTTTTTTTTTTTTTTTTTTTTTTTTTTTTTTTTTTTTTTTTTTTTTTTTTTTTTTTTTTTTTTTTTTTTTTTTTTTTTTTTTTTTTTTTTTTTTTTTTTTTTTTTTTTTTTTTTTTTTTTTTTTTTTTTTTTTTTTTTTTTTTTTTTTTTTTTTTTTTTTTTTTTTTTTTTTTTTTTTTTTTTTTTTTTTTTTTTTTTTTTTTTTTTTTTTTTTTTTTTTTTTTTTTTTTTTTTTTTTTTTTTTTTTTTTTTTTTTTTTTTTTTTTTTTTTTTTTTTTTTTTTTTTTTTTTTTTTTTTTTTTTTTTTTTTTTTTTTTTTTTTTTTTTTAAAAAAAAAAAAATTAAGGCCAAAAGAAATTAGTAAAAACTATACATTAACAGTTAGATTATTGTACGATTAATTAGTTGGTCCAGTCTTTGTGTCAACTTGCTGGTTTTATTTCGTTGTCTCTAGAGATTGTTTGTTTAACATTTTCTGGCCAATTCAACTAGTCATGTCAACTTAGATGCTTATTAGTTTTTTTTTTTTTTTTTTTTTTTTTTTTTTTTTTTTTTCGTCTAGGTACGGGAGGGGAAATATTATATTTAATTGCCTCAAGATTGTCTTCTACGTAAATTGAACTCGAGTGCACTCAAGGAGGGAGAGGGAGAGTTTGATCTATTTTTTCACTATGATGCCAACTCATATGCAACTTTGATGCTTGGTTCACCAGTCATATATATCAACAGTTTTCTATCAATTGGGTACACTTGGAGAGAGAGAGAGAGAGAGAGAGAGAGAGAGAGTAGTTTACATGCTGGTAATATGGCAGACAGTGGAATTGGCAAAGGAACAATTACAGGTGACGCCATACTCAAATCCTTTGGCCGGATTGGTATCAGTCCATGGTTTTTGATTGTTGCATGGATCTGGATCTCCACTGAAATCCCAGTTCGTCTTCCCCAGTGTCTTTGCTATGTCAGCTAAAGTTTGTACTACATATATATATAAAACAAAGTGCAACAATAATTTAACACCATATGCTCAATACTCAATATCTACACATTCATACAACTACTACCATTAATGTCTAAAGTCATGAATCCAAGCATCATATATACGCATACCTTCATCTCGTGGGAGGAAGAACATATTCATCAATTAATTTTCTATTGGAAACCTTTCCACATTTGAAGAGGAAAACAGTGCCCAAAATGAGAGCTTTTGAATGAAGAGGTACCGTACGATTGTGTGTATGAAATATGGATTTGTGAGGAGAGTATCGGTGCTTACAGCAGCTTTTGTAGACCTTCAAGGACTGAAACATTATTCCCACGTCTCACCCACTCACTTTATAGTCTAATCTAATCGCCATTCAAGACTTTTCTCAAGCAATAAAAGCCGTACACGAAATTAATTAAGTGCATTTTTTTTTTCTTTGTCAGAATTTTCATCCTTTTATATTTATATATATATATATATATATATATTTCCGATAAAAGAAAATTTCAACTTGCCCAGTAAGGTTTTTTTTATTAAAAAGGTAAAAATAAACCTGGAGCCCACAATTTGGTCCACTTTAACAGATTTCTTGTGAATTCCTTTTGCCTTTTATTTTATTATTTTAATTTGTTTCAATGTATTGTGTTATGTGGTTTCCTATTTAATTAAGAAATATAGTTTGACTTCAATTAATCTTAGTTGGTCCACGTCCATCCTAGTCTAGCTAGAATTCCAAAAAAAGAAGCATATATAATTATATATGAAACTTAGTCCTAGGGTTCAAAACAACACCTGCTGGTGCGTTCTACTTATGTTCTATTGAAAGAGAATTCCATTGTCAATACGCATACTACTTATGTTCTATTGAAAGAGAATTCCATTGTCAATACGCATAGTAAAGGTAAACTCCTTAACCTAACTCTCCAATTTTAATTTGTTTTTATTGATTTATGTTCATTATTTTTGTGTTTACAATTAATATATATATATATATATGTGAAACTTAATTATTTATATTTATATTTTACACTTTGTATTTGTGAAGCTTATTATAATGTCACATCAAAATCAAGCAAGTAAAATAGTAAAAACTATTCATTCATTCTTCAAAAAAAAAATGATGGTGATAATTAGACATTAACAAGGCTTCTACATCCAATAATAAGGCTTCACCATCAATTGAGCCACTTCATCACACATCTCCAGTAGTTGAACCCAATGAATTTGATGTTGCTTCTTTGGAACGAGACCCTGGGAAACGTATTTAAATATGTGATTACTCTATTAATCAATGTGATGAGGTTCGGCGTGCTTATATCAAAGTTGGACCTTACCAACCAAAACTTTAAGAATATCTAAGGTCTCAGTTTGGATCGCAATATCGTCGATTTCAATATTCTTGGTTCTCCCAATTTCCATGGTTAGAGTATTCCCTTTTAGAAGATAAAGTCTATTGTTTTCCATGCTTTGGTTTTGGTAATGGTCGTCCCGCACTAACTACTAAGGGGTTTAAGAATTGAAAAAGAGTTAATGATGGAAGAATTGTATATTTTTGACTCACGTCGAAGGTCCATCTTCATTGCATAATATTTGTGAAAGATGTATGCAGGATTTAATGAACCCATCTCAACATGTTGACAAAGTTATTAATAGACAATCAAAGGAAGAAATTTTGAAGAACTGGTTACGGCTCAAGACAATGATAGAGTGTGTTTGTTAGCTTACATATCAGGCATTTGCTTTTAAGGGTCATGATGAATCTTTGGATTCTAAAAATCGTGGAAATTTTATTGAAATGATAAAGCATACTGCAAAGTTTAATAATGAGGTGGCTGGAGTGGTTTTAGAGAATGCGCCATTGAACCAATAAAAAATTCATGGTTCGCCATTGCCAACGATCAATGCCGTGTCCATGTTCAAGACACTCTCATAACACGGTCAACTCATACTCTAGGTCAACCAATGTGTTAATTCAATTATAATTCATATAAAATTAATAAAGTTCAAAACTCTTTATATATGTCTGAATGCATATATAAAGCAAAAGGCAAATAATGGTAAAACATTCAAAATACCAGAAAATGCCATTAATTAATGCAAAAATTAAGAATTGAAATTATTAATTAAATGAGGATAATATGGTAAATTCACACTTTTTCTTTTCATATTAAAAAAATTAAAATTAAAAGAAAAATAAGATAATGGATCATATTTTTATGAACACAACTACCCATTATCTTTTTTAATTCTAAAATAAATTTATTTTTTTTAAAATAAAAAAAAACCTCTCGCAGGCACAAAAGCGCGTGCTACGAAGCTAGTGTAGAAATTAGCTCAATATTGTTTTAAATTTTCTCTAACATAGGTGTGGAAAAATGCAAGTCATCCAATGGAATATTTCTTGTAGAATTTCCGATAAAGGAAAACTTCAACTTGCATGGATACTCCACTAAGCCCAACTGTCAGAGTGTCGGACACCTGTGTCCAACGATCAACGCCGTGTCTATGGTCAAGACACTCTAATAACACGGTCAACTCATACTCTGGACCAACTAATGTGTTAATTCAATTATAATTCATATAAAATTAATAAACTACATTTGAAAGGTTTAGAAGGCTTGAATTTCACTATATAATATTGTGAAATTAGAGTATATAGTAATTAATTATTTTAATTCCAAAATCTGCATCCAAACATGTACATCGAAAAGCTATTTTGACTAAAACACGTAATCACCCGAATAAAGGTTTCCAAAAATATTCCCTTTCTCAGTTTTCCACAACATCCCCTTTCTCAGTTTTCCACAATTTACATCTTTTGGATGGACACTCCAACTTCCCAATCAACCAGTCAATGCATTGAATTAAATTAATATTCCAATTCTATTCTATCAATATCAATATTGAATGACTTGTCCTTTGTTTGTAGGTGAAGTATCTTTTTACCGTCACTTGAGAAAGATATAAATATAATTATTGTATGTTTACTTATTAAGAATGGGGAAGTTGTGAGTTGAAAAACTTAGATGAAGACTCAAAGAATTGGAATTGGATTAATTACTCCCTTAGTTGAATCTCATTCCTAATTTTGAGAGTATTTGATTACGGATTTTAACGTGGAACTCACATAATTTATGGTTCCCCATGTGTTAAAGTCATGAATAGGAATCATTCCAATTGTCATGTGTTAGTAAACACATAAAGCAAAAATCGTTTCAATACCCACATGTTAGTAAACAACATAGTCTAAAATATTGATAATATCAATGAAATATCGAGGATATTATCGTTTTTTGGGGACAATGATATTTTGGAACGTATCCATGCACATATCGTATGAATATCGATAATATCGGAAAATATCGATGTCGATAATTTCTCTCACACTTTAGCAATATTTGTCCATTTCCTCGTCTAAGAAACCTTTAAACGAAAAAAAAATATTGAGGTGGAATATATGATAATTTTAATTATATTTTAAATGAAGAAATGGACTTATCAAAAGTTTGTAAATTGTAAATTAGAGAAAATCAGAACTTATCAAAAGTTTTATATAACATGAATGAATTTTCCTGGTTGGTCATGCAGGCACTTACAAAGCATTTGATGATTTAATGTGCCCGGAAACTACTTGTTTACTGTATTTATTAGAAATCATTAAGTACAGTCTATCTACTATGTAATTGTGGAAGTAGCACCCATCATACAATGGTTTTACAGTTTTTGTCATGTCTTTTGGGAGCTATATTTTATTTCCTCTATTGCTATGTTCGAATTGTTAGTTTTTGTGCAGCTAATGTTTTTAGCTTTCTGTGACAAACTTGTAATCTCATATGCAATTAATTAAGCTCAAGAAATTTAGGCTAATTTAAGTCTACAGTCAAAATGATTACAGAAATTGAGATCAAACATGGCTCAAATGAAATCAAGATTGGTAAAAATCGTATATTGTAAGATGACTTGTTCTTATCTCCTGTATCTGTCTAAGCCGAATCAGCTAGTTCATGCCTTCCAACACTCATATTGATATTGCATGACAAGTTCAAAACCACATTGTTGTTTTGTAGCAGAATGCTGATTTCCACCATTCTCTTTCAAATAGAAACAGTAACAAAGCTTAGCTTCCAAGTAATTTATTCAGTTTTCCTGACTCTAAGCCTCTGCCCTGTATTTCAAATTATGTCATCATAATGCAATCTTCTCAGAAGATATAATATACCAGCTTCTGTGCTGTAGCAAAGTTGATCCAAGGGATTCATAATTTACATTTACCAATTTACCATGCTGTAGAAACATCTATATTATTCTTTCAGCTAAAAAATATATATGCGTGTGTATATAGAGAGGGAGTAGAGATGATATTATTCTTCCACCAGATGCTGGGGGTACAAAGTCTGCCGGAAGAAGACTAGGTTTATTAGAGTAAACGCGAATGTAATAGATAAGGGAGTGCGTTATTCAAACAGCTACCGAAAGCCGGATCTGTTGTAATATTAATGCCTAACATGATATTTATATATGAGAAACTCCCACTGGTCTACAAATAGTAATTAGAAGAAACTCAGAACAGTGTAAACTTACCAGGATCTACAGAAATAGCTGATATAAGAGGACCATAAACTCCTTTAAGAGGGATACCGGTCGTCCCTTTCCCAGCCCAATAGAAACGGATCTCCAAGGTACCACTAGTTACAGCAGCTGTATAGTTCATTATGACTGCAGTACTAATCCCACCAGCTTTATCGACAATATTGAAATCCTTCTGCACTAGTGTCCCCTGCAATATCCTAGTTTTGTTACATAACATTTCATGATCGTAATGTGGTATATTTTTTCAGCCTTGACTGCAACCTATTTTAACATGTTATTACTAGAAATTCATAAACATTTGAATTAACCAGGAACTAAACAGCGTCTATTGACCTTTACCTGAATGTAAACATCAAATATACGCCTTCCTAGGCTTTTATATGTTTTGCCACTTGTAAACCCTGTCTCTGCAAAATGGAGGTGTACAGTGTAGTTTCCATTTCCCAGACAAAACCCGTAATAAGTTAGAGAGATAGGAGAAAGGCGTGCATTCATGTACAGTTGTGGATTGGCCATAGAGAGTATGGATCCATTCATGACTGCACATGCAGGTTCACGAACCAAACAAAAGAAAATCAAAGAAAAATAAATATAATATATCTTGAAGCAATATGTGGAAACCCAACTTACTTTTTGGACATTTTGCACTTCCTAAACATGAAACAGTTTTTCTGATAGGATAATGCAGGATCCAGAAGAAGTCAGCAAGATAACATCATAAATGAAACTTATACAAGGTAGAGAAAACTTAAGAAGGTTAGATACCGAAGGATTCATGTTAGGGCGCATATTAATCTAGCCAAGAAATTCCATCCATTGATATTTTTCGTAACATAGAGATAAGGTGTTTGATGGAGTATCTCTCAGTTAATTGTAGTTTTTCCCTCACGAAAAAAAAATTCATGAATCCGTCACTATGGCTACGTGTGTATGATTGAATGATTCTGCACGCACATATAGGTTGCACCATCTGCATTAATTGGGATCACAAATGACGTTTCAAAACAAAAACAAAAAAATTAAGATGACAAATGGGTTGGAAATTGGATTTGGCTAAAAGAATTAGTTCAATTTATCCTTGTCAGGCCTTTACCAAAAGGGTTCAATTCTAAATTAGTTCACAAATGCTCCTTTTAGCATTATTGCCCTACTTTTGGCTGCACAACTTAGAATTTAGAATTCTGAAGAGACGCAAAAAGTTACAGAAAAGGGCTTATTGTCCACTTGGGGTCATTGGAGCATTGGAAGGGCTACCAAAAGATGACTTCATCGTATCTCCTTTAGCCGTCTAAGCCTAATCTGCTAGTTCATGGCTTCCAACACTCATATTGATATTGCATGACAAGTTCAAAACCACATTGTTTTGTAGCAGAATGCTGATTTTCCAACATTCTTTTTCAAAAGATATAATAATATACCAGCTTCTGTGCTGTATCAAAGTTGATCCAAGGGATTCATAATTTAAAATTACCATGCTGTAGAAACATCTATATTATTCTTTCAGCTATCTTGCCAAACTAAAAATATATATGTGTGTGTATTTAGAGAGGGAGTAGAAAGTTTGCTCAGTTTCTCTATTTTCTGTTGTCCCAGTAAGTTGAATCAGGCTTGACTGGATAGAGATCACGAGCAGATGTAGACGAACCAGTCCAAGGCCCTTCAGTTGACGCGGTTTGTGTCTGGCTCTCACCGGTTTTCCTTCCGAAACTGGATTCAAAATGTTTCCTCATTGCTTCGATCTCATTAGTTGAGGCAGTTGGATCTGAGACCAATTCCTGAACAGCAGCCCTGCCTTCAAGCATGCTCACAACTGAAGACATGGTAGGCCTAACTGTTGAAGTGACATTGCAGCAGAGGAGAGCCACATTGATTGTAAGCATCATCTCTTCTTTGTTGAAGTCTGAGCCCAACCTTGGATCCACTAGGTCCATCAATTTCCCTTGCCCTTTTAGTAGTTGTGCCTAGAAACATATATTGTCAGAGATAATTTGTCTTTACAAATAATTTCACTGAGCTTACATATTGTTAAACATTAATGCACATTTGAGAGAGATTTCTACAAGACAGCAGAATTTTCTAGAATAATATAGAATAAAAAGTCGGTGGTTGTATTCCCTAAACAATAGTTAATGAAGCTAGTGGAAAGCTCTAGTAGAAAACTACAATATATGGCTGAAATTACTTAGACAAAGTCGGTTACTGTGCAAACCGACCTAACTAAGCAAAAAGCCAACTTAGATAGTCGGCAAAGCATGCCTATAAATAGGCATGCAATGCAATAAAGCCAAGTGGAGTGAGCCAATCAACTCCCAATCTTTGTGGGAGCACAAAAGCTACCCAACCCAAATCTATGTGGAGTGAAACAAAAGAACTCCCAAACTGAGGGAGCCAAGAGCTACCCAAGTAAAATTATGTTGAGGAGCCAATAAGCTCATCAATCTAAGTGTAGGGCCAAATAGCCCAAAACTAATCTAAGTGAAGTGTAGTGGCCAATAAGCCAATATGCTAAGTGTAGAAGGCCAATTAGCCTACACTAAGTCATGTACTATTCTCCTCCAATATAATAAAATCACTTTGTTGTTTCCCTTATAAACTAACCATATATTGTCAGAGAAAGATAATTCAAATGAAGCCAGACTTGATTTTGGATCACATCATTAAAACTATTGCAGTATCAGTCACTTTCTCTCAGCCATAAACATAGAATAGAGATCAACAGTATCAGATTAAATTTAACTTTAAATAAGGAAGCAGTAGAATCATGTTACCCAATCAAGAAGATAAAAGCTTTTTCCTTTCCTCTGTAAGTGGTGTTGTTCCTCCCACTAACAATTTCCAATACAAGAATTCCAAAGCTATAAACATCTGCTTTATCAGTCAGATAACCCCGCATTACATATTCAGGCGCCATATATCCACTGCAAAAAATCGCTCATCATTTCCCCATATTTAGCTTAGCAAAATACTAAAATACTTCAAAGTTTCTTTAACAGTACAGATTTGGTTAAGTTTGAAACTTATACAAGGTAGAGAAACCTCCATCTATTTCCTATTTCTATGGACCCATCGTCGGGGTGGAAGAAATCAAAATAAAAGTATAAGAAGAAAAAAAATAGCACAGGAACTCACTAAGTTCCAGCAATACGGTTTTTTTTTTTTTTTTTTTTTTTTTTTTTTTTTTTTTTTTTTTTTTTTTTTTTTTTTTTTTTTTTTTTTTTTTTTTTTTTTTTTTTTTTTTTTTTTTTTTTTTTTTTTTTTTTTTTTTTTTTTTTTTTTTTTTTTTTTTTTTTTTTTTTTTTTTTTTTTTTTTTTTTTTTTTTTTTTTTTTTTTTTTTTTTTTTTTTTTTTTTTTTTTTTTTTTTTTTTTTTTTTTTTTTTTTTTTTTTTTTTTTTTTTTTTTTTTTTTTTTTTTTTTTTTTTTTTTTTTTTTTTTTTTTTTTTTTTTTTTTTTTTTTTTTTTTTTTTTTTTTTTTTTTTTTTTTTTTTTTTTTTTTTTTTTTTTTTTTTTTTTTTTTTTTTTTTTTTTTTTTTTTTTTGGGGCCAGGGGAATTTAAGGTACATGCAAGGTCGCCAGTTTAGGACAGGAAGATATCTTCTGGCAGTCTCCGGGGGGAGAGATTGTTATGACCGGCCTGAAAAACCCTTCAAGTCAGACATAACCAGCCAGAGCAAGGTTCCACTAAACCTCTTGGAAGAAAAATCCAATACCTAAGGAGGGAAGACTGGCGACAAATAAGGATGGGACATACCCGTGAAGGTCGTGTTGCTACAGCCATTGAAACGAATCAACGCTAAGCTGGTGGAATAATGAGATGGATAGCACCATAAATTGAATTGCTAACAAAATCCATTTCCGATATTGTTAGATTGGTAGAGACAGTGGTAGCCTCTTCCAAAAGAAGGTGAACTCAATCAAGATTTGAAGACGATCAGGAAACAAAGAATGAGTTTCAATGAACCATAAAGTGAATTGTGGAGGATTCAGTGCGTGAGATGTGTGAGATTTGCAAGTGTCCAGAAATGGAAACATCGCGTCGCTTTTGGCGGTTGGCGCCGTTGTGGGATTGTAAGGGGTCGGAATGTTGGTATCGCGCGCGTACCATCTTGATCACAAGTGAGCCCCTTCAATACACCATTATCAGAGGTCCACTTTAAAAGAGAGAGATAAATTGGGTATGACAGGAGAGTGCGATCAGTGTGGTTGTGGGCATGAGTATGTGTGGAAGTAATGAATAGAAAAGAGGAAGAGAAGGAAGCAATAGCCATTTGGGTTAGAATGCTGCTGCAGTACACAAGTTCTTAGTGTAGTTTACACATTGCCCGCATGGTGGTGCGATATATTAGAGCATAAAGGCCTAAAATTTATCTTTTCTTTTATTTATCTTGAGATTATTGCCAGCATTAAATTGCAAAACATCACTGCAAACGGAAAAACAACCATATTATTTGGACTACCAAGTCATGGATGGGGATTTGACACTCTACAAAAAAGGAAAAACACGACGGGGATTCACCGTCGTGTATCCGTTTTTCAAATGGTCGGGAATCCACCGACATCTTTCCATAACCAAACACCACGACGGTAAATCCCCGTCGTTGTTAAAACAAAAACGTCATCAACAAATAAAACCGACGTCTTTGTACTGCAAAAAAAGACTGAGGATGACATAGACGACCACTCTAACAAAAAAACATCGTTAAAAAGGAAACATATGACATATATTAACAGAACATGGCCTCAAGAGACCACATACCCCGACGCGACTAACACCAACCCGTTAAAATAAACTTAACGACAAAAAAATATGACTCGTTAAATACCTACTATACGACGTTATTGACACCTTTACTAACTCACTACATTGCACAACCGTCGTAAAATAAATTTTCCACTTGTGATTTTTCTATATGCGACATGGAATAGATGTGGGGTCATTCGTTACACGCATGTTGTCAGAGAGAGTGTTGAAAATACATAACAACTCGGTCCAAATAAATGAGAGCCGGATTACAAATTTATACGTCTTGTGGAAAGACTCTGAAACAGCTCGTTTCTCATTCCACGCGTGTAAAATATTTGAACGACAACGATGTGAAAATAAACGACGTGGAAAAAAGGTTGGGTCATTAATTCGGACACATTCAGTGTAAAGAACGACGTAGTATATCGACCCATAATTGATGCCCACTACAAGACCAGAAGTATCTATCAACACACCTAAAGACTGTGATTGTAAACTTTTTGTAGTCAGTCCCAAAATTTCTTGAATGACACCATGAGAAACCCTGAGTTTGGAGAATTGGGTTTTTATCCTTGGCACAAACAACTGCCATGGTATGTGCAAGTAAATAAACTCCCACTATTTTGAGTTGTCCAGCACATCATCTTGTGCCTTGAGATGTTGAATACTTTACCTATAAGATAGCTCCTATATAATGGCCTGCCATGTTTGGACCAGCTGCTACCACCTTAAATTTTCTGATACGCCATGATTGCCTATATATATAGATATATAATTAATATAGTATATATATACACGCACACTCCTTTCACATGATATCATGGCTTACGCTGGCTCTATAATATATACACGATGTCACATGATTCAAGAACTAATATGACATGGCACCATTTCCAGGACTTTCTGGAGTCTGGAAACTTAACCTCTGGCCCTTCATCTCTGCTCACTCTGTGTTTCTTGTGATTACGTGAAAGTCATTTTCTACTTCACCTTTCTGTTTAGGATTATAAACCAGTAAATTAACCGACTATTTCACCATAAGTCATTTTAAAACTTTACAATGTGAAGCTCCCTCCAGACCAGCAACTTGGAATGTGGTTTTAAAGGGAAATTAAAAGCAGCGGCCGCTTAGAATAAGTTTGGCCGTGGTCCTCAACGAGACTCCGAATGAAGCTTTCAGTTTGTAAAGGACCAGAAAGCAAGAAATAACTTGTTAAAACATTCGTATTAAGACGCGGTTTAAAATATAATTATGAGTATAAGTGAAATAAATACGACGTGAAAGAAAAACCCCAACGTGGTGAGATTAAAGATCACCATCGTGAACATACGAGAAGACGTCGTTATATTTATCTTTGCCGTAGTTTGTGCATTAATTTAAATACGCCGGTATTGGTATTTGTAACCGCCGTGGATTGGATTTATTTTAACTGATACGGCGCCTTATACAAAATTGGTCGTGTTAATTGGGTAAAACGGCGGCTGTTTTGAATCGTCGTCCTTTAACTTTCTACGTCGGTCGTTCCTACTTATCCGTTCTTTGGTGCTTGATTTTCCTACTCGAAATCCTATTTAATAAGACGTCGCGGTTTTTTTAATTGGTACGTCGTGTTTTAGGAACAGCCATTTGATCTCCATTTTTTTAGGGTCTCAGGTGTTATTACACGGCGGTTTTATAAAACCATCGTCTTTAAAAAACACGACGGTTTTCACCTTAGACCGTCGGTTTTTTCTGGTCGTCTTTTGTCACACTTTTAGTAGTGTGAACTCACAAGCTCCAATGTGATGGATCCATAGTTAAAAAATGAAGAAGAATTGCTTGTATTCTGAAGGGCGTCTAGGACCTCCACAGATACAACTATCTAAAACAAAGCCTAGCACTCGGGCTTTGAATTCGCCAAAATCAAACAAACTTATCGATATATAATTTTTAAAAATATTCCACTAATTAATTAAATAATTAAGTCAGAATTATTTAAATTAATTGGATTACTTTAAATCACCAAAGCCTTTTGACTAATTATATATATTATTTATATATATTAATTCACAAAGGGCATTGACCCAAGGCCAGGGCCAATTGCATAGCCCAATCCTAACTGTTTTATTTCCAAGAGTGGTTAGAAAGACCTTCAAGGAACTATAGTTTTCCATGTGGGACTAATTTAACTCAACATTGCAATGCCTTGCAAAAATCAACATAGTATAGGTTCTCTCAGTTTACCTTTGAACATAATTTTAATAGCTGAACACTGCTCTGAATTTTTTTGTTTAAGAAAGCATCTGTAGTAATTCTATGGAACAAAACTCCTCATTGGATGGAACCTTGCGGAAAGTTTAATTTCAGAGACAATTTAAAGATAATTATTGTCCATTTGAAAATAATTCATTTCACTCAAATATTTGCATCATAACATTTTGCACGACCTGGACAGCCAAAATTGTAGCGAAGTTTTGTGTTGCTTGTTTTCTGTCAAAGTATGTTGGCTTGCATTAAAAATTTTGAATACACATTTTTGTATTCCATTTGATATGTAATTCTGACTTTGGACAGCCAAAATCTCTTTATTGTTTGCATCAAAAGGCAGCCTGAAGAAATGCATCGAAAGAAGACACAATTATAAGACAAAACTGTGCCGTATTACATCAGAACGCAAAACGAAAAGAAGAAAAAAGAAACCAAAGAAAAAATTTAAAATAAAAAGTACAATATTAGCTCTAAGGCGTTCTCTTTATCATGTTGATGCTACTGTTGCATCACATAGAGCCAATCTTGTACATTGTATATGAATCGAAAATATGCATATCTCCATGTCTTGTTAATAATTAAAGAACCACATACTCCCCAAAATCCCACTATAAACCCTAACACAACAGAAGAAATATAAAACCACGGAATTTGATGAAGCCCGTTGTCCATGTCTTTGTTGTTCTTCTTGTTATCTTCATCAATGCCTTTATTTGGTCGACTGCACTTATTAGCAAGTGGGGCACCACAAAGTTTTGGATTCCCCTCAAAGGCAGAAGCGTTGAAGCTTTGGAGCTGAGTGCCTGTTGGTATTGGTCCCTGGAGATTATTGTATGAGACATTAAATTCTTTCAAGAAAGTGAGGCTCACCAATGACGATGGGATTGTTCCAGACAAGTGGTTCTTGGAGAGGTTCAAAAGCTCTAAATTTTTTAGGTTAGATATTTGGTTTGGAATGACACCGGCAAAGTTGTTGGAGTCAAGATTCAACTTGCGGAGAAGCTGCAATTGGCCGACCTCAGTAGGTATATCACCACTAATGTTATTGTTAGATAAGTCAATTGCTGGAAAAAACAAAAATAATTTGTGTGGTTCAAAACGTGGATTTGCGGTTACACTGCCGCCAAAGATAGGCAATTCAAATTCATAATTGTCCACTTGAGATGTACTAGGTTCATAAACCAACCTTGGTAGTCTACAAAGTTGCTTTGGAATTTCACCTGATATTCGGTTACTTGCCAAGTTTAGAGAAAAAAGTCTAGGAAGAGTCCCCAACCAACTTGGAATTGGTCCTGTGAGATGATTGTTATATAGAGCTAAGATCTCTAGATTCTTGAGCTTTGATAACCATAAAGGTATTTGACCAGTGAAGTTAGAATCAGCCAAACTCAATAACCGAAGATTTTTGAATCCGTTAAAATCAACCATGTCATCATCAGATGGCATTCCCTCACCTTCAAAGGCACCAGCAAGCGAGAGTGTGTGAAGACTTTTGCAACTCATCAATATCTTCATTGCCCCTGTGACATTGGTGAATCGGTTGTAACCAAGCGAGAGGAAGGACAAGGATTTCAATGAAAGAATCTCAGCTTGTATTTGTCCCTCTAGATGATTTCCACTCAATCCAATAGCTTTTAGGGACCTACACGAGTAAAGACTTACTGGAATCGTACCAGTGAAGTTATTAACCCTTAGGTCAAGTTTAGTAAGTTGACTAAGTCTGGAGAAATCAAGCATGGAGATATCTCCTTCCAAGTTGTTGGATCCCAAATGTAGTTCTAAAAGGTTTGTGCAATTCATCAAAGAGATGGGCAAAGAACCTTCTAAATTGTTGAAATCAAGGATCACAAACTTCAACTTCGAGAGCCTCCCCAAATTGACAGGAAGCTTACCGCTCAATTGATTAAAGTAGAGGTCAAGGATTGCAAGGTTGGTGAGGTTGACAATTTTATCACTAATGACTCCATGTAGTGAATTTAGAGGTAATGCAATTTCTTCAAGTTTAGTAGCATTATAGATATCTTCTGGAAGTAATCCTGAGAGATTGTTATGACCGGCCTGAAAAACCTTCAATTCGGAACAGTACCCTAGTCCAGGAGCAAGGTTGCCACTAAATTCATTGGAAGAAAAATCCAATATCCTAAGGAAGGGAGAAGAATGGAGACAAATAGAGGATGGGACATACCCTGTGAAGGTATTGTTGCTGACATTGAAACTAATCAAGCTGCTAGCTTGGTGGAAGAATGAAGATGGAATAGCACCATAGAAGTGATTGCTAGACAAATCCAGTTCCGGATATTGTTGGATGGTAGAGAAATCCAGAAAGAATGTTATAACTCAAATCAAGGATCTGAAGAACAAAGAATTGAGTTTCAAGGGAACCATAAAGTGAATTGTGGGAGAGATTCAAGTGAGTGAGATGTGTGAGATTTTCAAGTGATGAGGGCCTTTGAGCCCTTTGGAGGGTAAGAGCAAATGGGTGACCTTACCATCTTGATCACAAGTGATGCCCTTCCAATAACAACAATTATCAGAGGTCCAATTTAAAGGAAGAGAAGATAAAGTTAGGGTAAAGGACAGGAGAGAGCTGCGATCAGTTTGGTTGCATGCATGAGTATGTGTGGAAATAATGGAAGAGAAAAAGAGGAAGAGAAGGAAGCAATATGCCATTGGGTTATTAGGCTGCTGCAGTACTAGCAAAGTTCTTACGTGTATTTACATTGCCCGCTGGTGTGGATATATATAGGAGCAAATAAAGGCATAATTTATTTATTTTCTTTTATATATCTTGAGATTATTAACGCAGCATTAAATTGCAAAACATCACTTGCAAACTGAGAAATTGGTAACAACCATAATGAATTTAGGACTCCAAAAGTCAATGTGATGGGATTTGGGGACTCCAAAAGTCAATGTGATGGGACTCCAAAGACTATAGACTTTCATGAAGCGAGTCCATATTTGAAAAATGAAGAAGATTGGCTGAAATTTCATCTTTGATTTTGAAGGCATATTCGGAATTTCTTTAACGTTGAAAACGATTTTATCTTAAAGGCAAACATCACTGCAAACTGAGAAATTGGCAAAACAACCATAGCCATAAATTTAATACAAATTCTTCGAATCCCCTTTATATCGAAGAGTGATTTTAAAAGGAAAGAAAGACTTCGTCCCTACTCTCAGATAATGAAATCACCAAATTATGCTCCACACTGAGCGTGAGGTTTATTTTACAAAAAAAATTTTCTCGTCCACAAAACTCAGAATACGAATTTGATCTAGAACCACAATGCCATCATTGTATGGCTTTCAACTAATGTAGCCAAATTGTAGACCACATTAGCCACGATGAGAGGACAGTGTGAAGACCTGTATTTTAAAGGATAAAAAAGATATTTATCTTTGGGATAAACTTGAACAATATTATCTTTTTAAGATATTATCTTTTGGATAAACTTGGATGATCTTATCTTGTTAGGATATTTATCTTTTGGATAAACTTGGATGTTCTTATCCTTTTAATATTGAAGTTTATCCTATCCATATAAACACTATAAATAGAAGCATAATCTTATAGTTTCAAAACATGAGAAATTAGAAAGAATGAGAGAGAGTGGTGAAGAAACTCTTGGAGCTTGATTTGGGTGATAGACATGAAGATAGGTAGATAGGTTGTCTTGCAATTTATTTTAAGAGCTCTCATTATCGAGGTGAGTGGTTTATGTAATGTGTTCTAAAGTTCTTATTTTGTAATAAAATATTAAAACCATGAATTATCGTGGATTTGTTCTATTTACAAAATCTCTCTATTTCAAGTCAAGCATGTCTAATTTGATGCAATCCTTCACACTATATATATATATATATGATATATATATTGATTGGAATATTTATGAAGTATGTATTATTCATGGAACATGAGAACTTCAATGTTGGGGTATCCGAGGATAGATGTACCACACGAGGACATAGGGCAGTGAGGCCAATAGGAGTCACATGGTTGGTACATGCTATAAAGGATAACCAAGATATGAAGGGATGATGTGATATGATTTGAATTGGTATATCTTTTCATGATATTTTCTAGAGTGTGTAAAATGGCATTGCTTGGCTGGCATATTATAATCTACTCATTGAGCGGTGGTTGCTCATCTTTCACCCTGTTTAATTTTTCAGATGAATTAGTGAGTAAGACAAGGACTAAATCGGTTGGGGCTGAATTAGATGAGAGTGATAGAGCTTTATTTATTAATTGTAAAGTTGCAAGATTTTGGGAGCTATTTTTATAAGAAAAGTTTATTTTATGTTTCGGCTTCTTTTTATTTCTTTTTATTTTATTTACTTTTTATTTTCTCACGCATCGAGCATGGGGCGTGACACCAGACCTCCTTATTCATATTCAAAATATCTATCTGAGGATGTCAAGTGTCTTACATATTCCAAACACTATTCTCATATTGAAAAAAAGAAAAAGAAAGAGAAAGAGAAGACAGATTATGAGAACAAAATGTGCCTTATATGTGGAAACAACAAAATGAAACTGTAAAATATAGGCCATGTTTGGTACGCTCACTGGACTGGACTATGTTAAATAGCACTCGAAAATCATGTTTGGTAACAGACATGACTAACTTAAATGAGACTGTATAGTCCAATAGTGAAAAAAACTCCTCACTCGCTCGTCTAATATAGTGAGTCTAAAAAGTGGTTCACCACACTCGCTAAATAGAATACGTGAGTCCAACACCTCTCTTTAAAAAACATCAGAATTTATTTTGTTTTTTTTTTTTTTTTTTTTTTTGTTTTGTTATTTATTTATTTAGAGATAAATAATCATAATTAAATTTAAATATTACAATAATTATTTTGATATTGCATTTGGAAAATCAACTATAATAATTTACAATGTTTGATATTGAAACAAGTTTAATAATTCATGATGTGATGCTTTCTTCTTATCACAAGCAATTTTTACCTTTCAAATTGATATTTTTCTGTTTGAAGTCAAAAGTCAAATATATAAAATGATACATATATATATCTATATATATAATATTTTTAACTGTTGTTTTTACATGGTCCTTGAAAAACCTAGAATTATATAGAGTGAGCTTAGCTCCTTTAATAATATTTCGACCAACTAAGATTAATCTTGAGAAGCCAAAAAACAAATATCATAATTTTATTCTTCATAAAATAAAAACATTGGGTTTCTTTGTAGCATTTATTTATTTTTTAGGTCAAAAACCCCAATTAAATTTAAATATTACAAGAATTATTTTTTGGTCCGACATAGTACCAAACATAGGTCTTCACTATTTTTATAATCCAACTTCTTAATCCGATGCAACACCAAACGTAGGTCAGTACTTAATCTAGCTTAGTCCAATCCGAGTTAATCCAAGATAATTTCAAGATTTAGTCCAGTCCATGACAGTTTGCCATACCAAACGACCCCATAAAGTACAATCTACCCTCTAAAACTATTTTCTAGATCATCTTGAGCATTCTAGTTCAATTGTGCAAAATGCAGAATTTATTGCTTCCTTGTATCCACAAGTCTTATTTGCATATAAGTAATGCTACACTTACCACATTTTTATCCCACATTTCTATACCACATGATGTGACATGTCCATATTATATGTCACATCAATTAAATCAATGAAATGTATTTTAATTAAGGCAATTAGAAAAAAAAATGCTGGAATAAATCATAAAAGAAAAGTAAATATTAAATAATTTTAATTGATGTGGCTGTCCACCTCAGCTGCCACAAAAGATGGTATAAAGATGTGGTATACAAATGTAATAAAAGTAGCATTATTCTTTGCATATTGATTTTGCACACCGGTTATGAGGGATCGCTAACTTTCTTTTCATATAGCCATAGCCGCAGACACTTTTTTATATCCTACAAGTTATCACTTGTACCAATAAACTATGATATGATATCACATTCACATTAGAATTACTAATAGTATAGCTGCTCTCATTTACTTTGAGACAAGATTTAATATCTCAAATATTTAATCTGAACTTTTCTGAAATTTTTGTTTAAGAAAGTCATCTGTAGTTGTGCTAAAATTCTGTGGAATACAAACCACTACAGACAAGCAGTTATTAGTGGCCAGCTACTTGGTCACAAAAACTATCAATTTTGGTCACGGAATACAATTAGTGTCCAAATATTAGTGGTCATTGGATGGTCACTAGAAGCTCGTGACAAATTCTATTTAGTAGCCAATGTCAAGTATTGGTCACTACAACCCAAAGAATTAGTGACTTCCTCTGTGTGGTCATAAAAATGCTATTAGTGACCGCAACTTTAATCACTAAAGGGCTACAATTTGGTCACCAAAACATGCATTTTAGTCACTGGAAGTGGGTCACATGCCCACATTAGTGACCTACTTGCTCACTAAAAGTGGGTCTGAACTGCAAGTTTTTCGTACCGGTCACAATAACCTCTCATGATTACTTCCAGAAAATATCTATAATGCTACCAAACTTAAAGAAATTTCTCTACCTCTCAATTCACTACATGGAGCCATTAGTGATAAAATTGTCAACCTCACCAACCTAATCCTTGACCTCTACATTAATCAATTGAGTGGCGAGCTTCCATTTGGGGAAGTTTTCCAAGCTGAAGTTTGTGACCTTTGATTTCAACAATTTTGAAGGTGCTTTGACCCCAACTTGGAAGGAAATATCTTCATGCTTGATTTCTCTAGACTTAACCAACTTACTAAACTTGACCTAAGGGTCAACAACTTCACTGGTACGTTTTTAGTAAGCCTTTAGTCATGTAGGTCCCTAAAGGTTGACTAGAAATAATCTAGAGGTACAAATACAAGCTGAGATTCTTTCATTAAAATAATCCTTGTCCTTCCTCTCACTTGGTTTCAACCAATTCTCCAATCTCACAGGGTAATGATATTTATGAGTTGCAGAAGTCTTCACGAACTCATGCATAATGGTTCCTTTAAAAGTGAGGGAATGCCAGCTGATTATGACATCGTTGATTTTGACGAATTCCTAAATCTTAGGGTATTGTGTTTGGTTGATAGTCGCCTCAATGGTTGATGACATGGAGATACACATAGTTCATAGATAATCTACAAGATAGGTTGTACGAGTGTGCATTAACACTATTAAAAGAAGGCTTAGAGGCTAGATATATATTATTGTACTTTTTATTTTACATTTT